ACTCCCATTGACTCCCATTGACTCCCATTGACTCCCATTGACTCCCAGTGACTCCCAGTGACTCCCATTGACTCTCATTGACTCTCATTGACTCTCATTGACTCCCATTGACTCCCATTGACTCCCAGTGACTCCCAGTGACTCCCAGTGACTCTCATTGACTCCCATTGACTCCCATTGACTCCCAGTGACTCCCAGTGACTCTCATTGACTCTCATTGACTCCCATTGACTCCCATTGACTCCCATTGACTCCCAGTGACTCCCAGTGACTCCCAGTGACTCTCATTGACTCCCAGTGACTCCCAGTGACTCTCATTGACTCTCATTGACTCTCATTGACTCTCATTGACTCCCAGTGACTCCCATTGACTCCCATTGACTCCCATTGACTCCCATTGACTCCCAGTGACTCCCAGTGACTCCCATTGACTCCCATTGACTCCCATTGACTCTCATTGACTCCCATTGACTCCCATTGACTCCCATTGACTCCCAGTGACTCCCATTGACTCTCATTGACTCCCATTGACTCCCATTGACTCTCATTGACTCTCATTGACTCCCATTGACTCCCATTGACTCCCAGTGACTCCCAGTGACTCCCATTGACTCCCATTGACTCCCAGTGACTCCCAGTGACTCCCAGTGACTCCCAGTGACTCCCATTGACTCCCATTGACTCCCATTGACTCCCAGTGACTCCCAGTGACTCTCATTGACTCTCATTGACTCCCAGTGACTCCCATTGACTCCCATTGACTCCCATTGACTCTCATTGACTCCCATTGACTCCCATTGACTCTCATTGACTCTCATTGACTCCCATTGACTCTCATTGACTCTCATTGACTCCCAGTGACTCCCATTGACTCCCATTGACTCTCATTGACTCCCAGTGACTCCCATTGACTCCCATTGACTCCCAGTGACTCCCAGTGACTCCCAGTGACTCCCATTGACTCCCATTGACTCCCATTGACTCCCAGTGACTCCCAGTGACTCCCATTGACTCCCAGTGACTCCCAGTGACTCCCATTGACTCTCATTGACTCTCATTGACTCCCATTGACTCCCATTGACTCTCATTGACTCCCATTGACTCCCATTGACTCTCATTGACTCCCATTGACTCCCATTGACTCCCAGTGACTCCCAGTGACGCCCATTGACTCCCATTGACTCTCATTGACTCCCATTGACTCCCATTGACTCCCAGTGACTCCCAGTGACTCCCATTGACTCCCATTGACTCCCAGTGACTCCCAGTGACTCCCATTGACTCTCATTGACTCCCATTGACTCCCATTGACTCCCATTGACTCCCAGTGACTCCCAGTGACTCCCAGTGACTCTCAGTGACTCTCAGTGACTCCCAGTGACTCTCATTGACTCTCATTGTCTCTCATTGACTCTCATTGACTCCCAGTGACTCCCATTGACTCCCATTGACTCTCATTGACTCCCATTGACTCCCATTGACTCTCATTGACTCCCATTGACTCCCATTGACTCCCAGTGACTCCCATTGACTCCCATTGACTCCCAGTGACTCCCATTGACTCCCATTGACTCCCAGTGACTCCCAGTGACTCCCATTGACTCCCAGTGACTCCCAGTGACTCCCATTGACTCCCATTGACTCCCATTGACTCCCAGTGACTCCCAGTGACTCCCATTGACTCCCAGTGACTCCCAGTGACTCCCATTGACTCTCATTGACTCTCATTGACTCCCATTGACTCCCATTGACTCTCATTGACTCCCATTGACTCCCATTGACTCTCATTGACTCCCATTGACTCCCATTGACTCCCAGTGACTCCCAGTGACTCCCATTGACTCCCATTGACTCTCATTGACTCCCATTGACTCCCATTGACTCCCAGTGACTCCCAGTGACTCCCATTGACTCCCATTGACTCCCAGTGACTCCCAGTGACTCTCATTGACTCTCATTGACTCCCATTGACTCCCATTGACTCCCATTGACTCCCAGTGACTCCCAGTGACTCCCAGTGACTCTCAGTGACTCTCAGTGACTCCCAGTGACTCTCATTGACTCTCATTGTCTCTCATTGACTCTCATTGACTCCCAGTGACTCCCATTGACTCCCATTGACTCTCATTGACTCCCATTGACTCCCATTGACTCTCATTGACTCCCATTGACTCCCATTGACTCCCAGTGACTCCCATTGACTCCCATTGACTCCCAGTGACTCCCATTGACTCCCATTGACTCCCAGTGACTCCCAGTGACTCCCATTGACTCCCAGTGACTCCCATTGAATCCCATTGACTCCCATTGACTCCCATTGACTCCCATTGACTCCCAGTGACTCCCAGTGACTCCCAGTGACTCCCATTGACTCCCAGTGACTCCCAGTGACTCCCAGTGACTCCCATTGACTCCCATTGACTCCCATTGACTCCCATTGACTCCCAGTGACTCCCAGTGACTCCCATTGACTCCCATTGACTCTCATTGACTCCCATTGACTCCCATTGACTCCCATTGACTCCCATTGACTCCCATTGACTCTCATTGACTCTCATTGACTCCCATTGACTCCCAGTGACTCCCAGTGACTCCCAGTGACTCCCATTGACTCCCATTGACTCTCATTGACTCCCATTGACTCCCATTGACTCCCATTGACTCTCATTGACTCCCATTGACTCCCAGTGACTCCCAGTGACTCCCAGTGACTCTCATTGACTCCCATTGACTCCCATTGACTCCCAGTGACTCCCAGTGACTCTCATTGACTCTCATTGACTCTCATTGACTCTCATTGACTCCCAGTGACTCTCATTGACTCCCATTGACTCCCATTGACTCCCAGTGACTCCCATTGACTCCCATTGACTCCCATTGACTCCCATTGACTCCCATTGACTCCCAGTGACTCCCAGTGACTCCCATTGACTCCCATTGACTCTCATTGACTCCCATTGACTCCCATTGACTCCCATTGACTCCCATTGACTCTCATTGACTCTCATTGACTCCCATTGACTCCCATTGACTCCCAGTGACTCCCAGTGACTCCCATTGACTCCCATTGACTCTCATTGACTCCCATTGACTCTCATTGACTCCCATTGACTCCCAGTGACTCCCAGTGACTCCCAGTGACTCTCATTGACTCCCATTGACTCCCATTGACTCCCAGTGACTCCCAGTGACTCTCATTGACTCTCATTGACTCTCATTGACTCTCATTGACTCCCAGTGACTCCCATTGACTCCCATTGACTCCCATTGACTCTCATTGACTCTCATTGACTCCCATTGACTCCCATTGACTCTCATTGACTCTCATTGACTCCCATTGACTCCCATTGACTTCCATTGACTCCCAGTGACTCTCATTGACTCCCATTGACTCTCATTGACTCCCATTGACTCCCATTGACTCCCAGTGACTCCCATTGACTCCCAGTGACTCCCATTGACTCCCATTGACTCCCATTGACTCCCATTGACTCCCATTGACTCCCAGTGACTCCCAGTGACTCCCATTGACTCCCATTGACTCCCAGTGACTCCCAGTGACTCCCAGTGACTCCCATTGACTCCCATTGACTCCCAGTGACTCCCATTGACTCCCATTGACTCCCATTGACTCCCATTGAGTCCCAGTGACTCCCAGTGACTCCCAGTGACTCTCATTGACTCTCATTGACTCCCATTGACTCCCATTAACTCTCATTGACTCCCATTGACTCCCATTGACTCCCATTGACTCTCATTGACTCCCATTGACTCCCATTGACTCCCATTGACTCCCATTGACTCCCAGTGACTCCCAGTGACTCCCATTGACTCCCAGTGACTCCCATTGACTCCCATTGACTCCCAGTGACTCCCATTGACTCCCATTGACTCCCATTGACTCCCATTGACTCCCATTGACTCCCAGTGACTCCCAGTGACTCCCAGTGACTCCCATTGACTCCCATTGACTCCCATTGACTCCCAGTGACTCCCAGTGACTCCCAGTGACTCCCAGTGACTCCCATTGACTCCCATTGACTCCCATTGACTCCCAGTGACTCCCAGTGACTCCCATTGACTCCCATTGACTCCCATTGACTCCCAGTGACTCCCAGTGACTCCCATTGACTCTCATTGACTCTCATTGACTCCCATTGACTCCCATTGACTCCCATTGACTCTCATTGACTCTCATTGACTCCCATTGACTCCCAGTGACTCCCAGTGACTCCCATTGACTCCCATTGACTCTCATTGACTCCCATTGACTCCCATTGACTCTCATTGACTCTCATTGACTCCCAGTGACTCCCAGTGACTCCCAGTGACTCTCATTGACTCCCATTGACTCCCATTGACTCCCAGTGACTCTCATTGACTCTCATTGACTCTCATTGACTCCCAGTGACTCCCAGTGACTCCCATTGACTCCCATTGACTCTCATTGACTCTCATTGACTCCCATTGACTCCCATTGACTCCCATTGACTCCCATTGACTCCCATTGACTCCCATTGACTCTCATTGACTCTCATTGACTCTCATTGACTCCCAGTGACTCCCAGTGACTCCCATTGACTCTCATTGACTCACATTGACTCTCATTGACTCTCATTGACTCTCATTGACTCTCATTGACTCCCATTGACTCCCAGTGACTCCCATTGACTCCCAGTGACTCCCATTGACTCCCAGTGACCAGCAGAACAAGCCAACAAGACAAAGTTTAATCCCTGCACCAGCCCTTTGGCCCATCATTAATACCAACACTATCAAGAAGCTATCAGAGCGCTCTGATTAAAAGTAATTCACATCGGTAATAGATAAGTACATAAAACAGAATAGCTCTTATCATTTACTACAAGCTCTGGGTCATTGTCAGACTGATATTGATAAACTTAATCATAAAAGCAGATTTAATTTCATTTTTAAAAGTCAGAAAAGTCAGGGTGTTTTGATCAACAATGAAGCAAATGTAACTAAAATCCTCTCTGCAGGTTTTGCTCAAGCACGACGGTCAAACCACGCTGAAGGTTCTGGATAAAACCAAGACCTCGGCGAGCCTTCCACTGGACAAAGACTACGGCTACGTGGTTCTGGAGATCCGCTCGTGGGGAGAAGGCGGCGATGGCCCGGCGCATGACATCATCGTGTCTCAAGAATCAGGTGAGGGCCTAGACTTGGAGAACGATAGATAATACAAATCTGAGGAGTCGAACATATTATATACATTTGTTAAATACTACATTTCAGTTAAACACTGTTTCCTAAAGGGCCACTGTGACTGCTACTTATTTGACTAAACTGAAATCTTATAGTTTACAGAGTGTCAGACCGGTCCTCAAAGGGTCTGTATAGCTGTGTGTTTTAACCTATAATCTTCAGGTTTAAACTCATGGATTTAATGAGTGTGACGATAATATCTGGAATACCATGAATCTATAATAATATCTGGATAGACCATGGATCTATAATAAAATCTGAATTACCATGGATTTATAATAATATCTGTTTTACCATGGATCTATAATAATATCTGTTTTACCATGGATTTATAATAATATCTGTTTTACCATGGATCTATAATAATATCTGTTTTACCATGGATTTATAGTAATATCTGTTTTACCATGGATCTATAATAATATCTGTTTTACCATGGATTTATAATAATATCTGTTTTACCATGGATCTATAATAATATCTGTTTTACCATGGATTTATAATAATATCTGTTTTACCATGGATCTATAATAATATCTGTTTTACCATGGATCTATAATCATATCTGTTTTACCATGGATCTATAATCATATCTGTTTTACCATGGATCTATAATAATATCTGTTTTACCATGGATCTATAATAATATCTGGATAGGGTATTACTATCTTATAGCAGTCCCACCCATGGCCACAAGGGGCGCCCACGGAGAACAATGTACATAGAACTCAATGTAAACTAAAACAGCTCGACCTCAGCTGACAGAGAACCTGACAGAGAACCTGACGGAGAACCTACAACTTTCATAAAAGTCAGATTCTGTGGGGATTTTAGTGTCCCTCGTCCTTCTGATCTATTTTTCTTCTTAAATCCTTAGGTTTTCAATAAATCCACACTTCAGTCCAACAAACTCTGCTGGTTTGTCTCCCGCTCTAGCTCCGCTCTGATCAGCAGAGTCTGGAAAACACCAAAGTATTCTAATAAATGCATGCACGGATTAGATTAAAACATAAAAACATTGAGCAGCAACATTTATAATCAAAGTTGTTATATCCAGAAAGAAAAACGACATGTACTTTTGCACTTTTGCATCAATAACAAAAAAACTGAATCTGTCAATAACTCAAAATAGTACATTTAGATTATTACAGACTACTTCCAGTGCTGTACCTATGTCTGTTATTGTAAGTAATATATTGGGACGTTATCTGCAAATACTTCAAAGTCCAACTATTTATGCTCTGTGTTATCTAATAGATATAAAACCACATTAATCAACTGTCGCCGCAACAAACAGAATGAATCATTTAGGTGAAATAGTAGAAAATATACCTTTGCAAAGTAATGAGAAAAGTTTTGCAAGTGTCATTGATGCTATTGGTGCCATTTGTGTGTGAGATTATTTTGGAATTCTTGCCTTTTCTTCTTCGCAGGCACTGGAATGATGGTTCAGAGCGGCGCCCACTCTGCGTTGCCAGTCCAGACTTTGGGAGGACTGGTTCTTCTCACCCTCGCCACGTGCTTTTAAACACTAATTGGCTAGAAACAGGTGTAATTAGTGTGACTGTGAATGCACCAGGCTGGAGGACGAGGCTAAACCAACATCAAAGACGTATCAAAACATATTTTTAAGACCAAATTCATGTCGTAATGTACTGCCCTGGTTTTTAACGTGGTCCGAAGCGAGTCCTTTCATGATGTTTTATGGCAGCACGCTCTGACAGTCTGAGTGATTATGGGTTGTAAACAGTGTCCTGCTGGTGGCCTTAACTATTAGACACAAAAGTAAGGTTGTTGATAAAGATACTGGTCATTTGTTGGGTTCAAATTCACATTTTTTTCCTCAAAATTGTGCTCAAATCATCCAGAATTTAGTTTAAAACACGCGGCTAGTTTCAAAGTTCCACTGCTAATATTAGGTCAGTCTATTTTGTGCTTAAGTGAAATGTTTGAGTGAGGTCTAGGGCTAAAAATAGAAAAGAATAGAATAAATTAGCTGTAGTTAGAGTTCTCAAACAGGTTTAGAAATAAATACATGAAGATTAGTTATTTGCAAGGTTGAGTTTTTAAGTCAAATTAAGTATTTCTCCTAATTTGAGACGATTATACAATTAGACCGGCTAATGGAGAAGCCTAGTCTAATCCTAATTCTTAGTTTTAAAAATGGTAGTAAATTATATTTTTTCAATTATTTTTTAATGGTAAATATTTTGTCAAAACAAATTGACTTTTTTCAGCCACTTGTCTTTGTATTTTCTCTAAAATTACAATTGTTGATATGATGTTAAAGGAGCAGTATGTAAACATGTGGCCAAAAGTGGTACTGCAGCCTCTCCCACTCTCCCTGACTCAGGTTGCCAGATATGCAGACGAATCCAGCTGGGACCATAACAGCTGAATAGACAAGAGTTTAGTCAACAACAAATCTATAACCAACACCTTTTTCACAAAGATAGAAATCCTGGTTTTATTCCTTGTTTTATCGTTAATGATTTGAGAATCATAACGAGACCTTTTTTAGTTCTGCGCCACATGGTACTTTACCAGTGAGATTAGCTCCACACGGTGAGTTCTGGCGCCCGGATCACAGACTTTCTGATTGGTGAAAAGGTGGAGGGCGGGACATCGAAAGGAAAACAATAACAAGATTTAGAGGCTGGAAAAGTCATTTAGAAATTCAATTATTTCTGAGCTACTGTTATCAGTTAAAGAAGTATTGAAAAAGAGCATGTTTTATTATTGCATTTTGACAGATTAGGGCCCTTTAATTATGACAGATTAGGGCCCTTTAACGATGACTCGCCATGATAATCTTACATATTGCTGCTTTAAACATAAATTCGCAAAAACAGAAATGTCAGACCCAATCATTATCACATGTTTAGTTTTTCACAATTTCATATTTCTTCAAACCTTGCAGCCCAAGTGTGGTTTTTATGACCCAGACGAGAGGGAGATTTATCACAGTAAACGTTGCCACACATTTTAAAACCAGTTTGTAGATTAGTTAGGCTTAGTTGCACTTAGTATACAGAAGAAAGAAGGCAACAGTGAGACAGACATGTATTTATTTATTTAATTATTTATTTATTCATAAATCTTTATTTCTATGTATTTACTGTCAACAGCAATGAATGTAATGAGTTTGATTTTTCGAGAATCATTTGTGTTTTGATGAAGATGAAGATAATTTTGATGAAGAAAGCACAAGTTGCCGCAGTAACGATCACCGAGTGTGTATTTCAGACCCACAAAACAGACTTTTTCTCTCTGTAGGAACCTTTCAGCTCCTTGTTTTAGCTCCTGCTCAGGGGCTGGTACTTCTGCAACACATTACGACGGGCCTTCTTATGAAACACTTTATGATATTTATTAATTAATTTATTGTTAGGGTGATTTTCTATTGCACAGTTGTGACAGAGCCATTCAGACACACACACACACACACACACCTGTAAAATGCCCATAAACTGCAGGTTAGATAATATATCAAACCGAAATAATTATACAATAACTTATTAAGACTTTTTTATTAGTTTGGACTGACTGAGCAGGAGTTCATGAACATGGGATTCTTCAAAGCTTATTAAGAAGAATTATGCATGTTTTTTTTTGTTTTCCAGCCTAATTAAATACATTTGGAGTCAGTAAACCCCTTTTTTTATTTTTATTTTATTCTGTTTTATTCCCCATGTGAAACGCATTGAATGTCGAAAAAAGCGCTATACATTATTATCAATATTATTATCATTATTATTATTTTTTTTTTTTACACGATCACATGGTAATGGGTTTTTGGTTCTGGTTTGTGTTCTGAAACGTCACTTACCAAAGAAGAACGGAATTTTGTTTTTCCTGTCTGTAACAACATTGTGTGAGGGTTAGGGTTAGGGCTAGCTGCCAAACCATTTCTTTGTTTTAGTTTGAGGTAAAATTAGCGCCTGGAAATAGCAACCAATTACCGTTTAGTTAGCTACTGCTGTCCTATTTTGTGGGCTAATTACAAGTTTATCTGATGCTATTTTTATTGCCATATTCCTTTTTTTTTAGCAGGTGTGGGAGGTTTTGGTTTAGTGCACTGCCCTAAATGTCCATTTGGGGGCGCACTTCAGGGTGGAGTTAGCCTGGGTTATTAGGCATTTGACTGCACTATACTGCATTTTGAGTTTACAGTTCCACATAATTGTTTTTTAGTGTTTCAGTGTTCGTGGACAACTGTGGAACTACTACATTCATTTAAAAGAGCAGTTTGTAAACATGTGGCCGAAAGTGGTACTGCAGCCTCTCCCGCTCTCCCTGACTCAGGTTGCCAGATATGCAGACGAATCCAGCTGGGACCATAACAGCTGAATAGACAAGAGTTTAGTCAACAACAAATCTATAACCAACACCTTTTTCACAAAGATAGAAATCCTGGTTTTATTCCTTGTTTTGTCGTTAATGATTTGAGAATCATAACGAGACCTTTTTTAGTTCTGCGCCACATGGTACTTTACCAGTGAGATTAGCTCCATGCGGTGAGTTCTGGCGCCCGGATCACAGACTTTCTGATTGGTGAAACGGTGGAGGACGGGACATCGAAATGAAAACAATAACAAGATTTAGAGGCTGGAAAAGTCATTTTGTAATCCAAACATCTCTGAACTACTGTAATCAGTGAAAGAAGTATTGGAAAAGAACATGTTTTATTAATGCCTTTTGACAGACTAGGGCCCTTTAACAATGACAGATTAGGGCCCTTTAACGATGACAGATTATGGCCCTTTAACGATGACAGATTAGGGCCCTTTAACGATGACAGATTAGGGCCCTTTAAGGATGACAGATTAGGGCCCTTTAACAATGACAGATTAGGGCCCTTTAATGATGACAGATTAGGGCCCCTTAACGATGATAGATTAGGGCCCTTTAACGATGACATATTAGGGCCCTTTAACGATGACAGATTAGGGCCCTTTAATGATGACAGATTAGGGCCCTTTAACGATGACAGACTAGGGCCCTTTAACGATGACAGATTAGGGCTCTTTAACGATGACAGATTAGGGCCCTTTAACGATGACAGATTAGGGCCCTTTAAGGATGACAGATTAGGGCCCTTTAACGATGACAGATTAGGGCCCTTTAATGATGACAGATTAGGGGCCTTTAATGATGACAGATTAGAGCCCTTTAAGGACGACAGATTAGGGCCCTTTAACGATGACAGACTAGGGCCCTTTAACAATGACAGATTATGGCCCTTTAATGATGACAGATTAGGGGCCTTTAATGATGACAGATTAGGGCCCTTTAAGGATTACAGATTAGGGCCCTTTAACGGTGACAGATTATGGCCCTTTAACGATGACAGATTAGGGCCCTTTAACGATGACAGATTAGGGCCCTTTAAGGATGACAGATTAGGGCCCTTTAACAATGACAGATTAGGGCCCTTTAATGATGACAGATTAGGGCCCCTTAACGATGATAGATTAGGGCCCTTTAACGATGACAGATTAGGGCCCTTTAACGATGACAGATTAGGGCCCTTTAATGATGACAGATTAGGGCCCTTTAACGATGACAGACTAAGGCCCTTTAACGATGACAGATTAGGGCTCTTTAACGATGACAGATTAGGGCCCTTTAACGATGACAGATTAGGGCCCTTTAAGGATGACAGATTAGGGCCCTTTAACGATGACAGATTAGGGCCCTTTAACGATGACAGATTAGGGTCCTTGTCACCATCAGTTGCTTTCTGGGTGTCTGCGATGTCTAAGATTGTAGTATTTTTTTAACTCCTTTGCAGCATTAGTTTCATTGTGTGATGTCGTAGTAATATTCTGCAGCGACAAAGTATAGTTACTCTTCCACCGACGTCTGTTTCTCTAAAACTCTTGCACTGCCTTCAGTTTTTGTGAATTGGATTTACGTCTGGATTGAATGTAACTGTAAACTATGATTTCAAATAAAACATGGAATGCTTTTAGAACAAGTCTAAGTTTTTATTATCAATCATTAAAAGCAAATCATTCTGCAGAAAGAAAGGACGGAATTTATTTATTTTAGCATCGAACACATGCAAGACATTCAACAGTCTATTCGTAAAGTCGGTTAATAGAAAAATAATGATACATGTATACAAATATTGACAGTGTACACTCTGGATCCTACCTTTCTGATTTAATGTGTATTTTAATGATATATAAGTGTGTGTATGTGCATGTGTGTGTGTCTGTCTGTTTGTGTGTGTCTGTCTGTCTGTGGGTGTGTGTGCGTGTGTGTGTCTGTATGTCTGTTTGTGTGTGTCTGTCTGTGTATGTGTGTGTCTGTGTGTGTGTGCGTGTGTGTCTATGTCTGTGTGTGTGTGTGTATGTCTGTCTGTCTGTGTATGTGTGTGTGCGTATGTGTGTGTGTGTCTGTGTATGTGCGTACAGTGTGTGTGTCTGTGTATATGTGTGTGTGTCTGTCTGTGTGTGCGTGTGTCTGTCTGTATATGTGCGTATGTGTGTGTGTGGTGCTTCATAACTAAAATGTGATTCATAGGTTGATTGAAACTCTACATTTTCTCCACAAAAACTATTAGCGGCCATCCATCCATTATCATCCTCTTTATCCGGAGCCGGGACACGGAGGCAGCACACACACACACGCACGCACGCACACACACACACACACACACACTGCAGAAGCCTATTTTATCCATTAGAAATCTTAAATATTACCGTGCTATAATCCTAATCAGTGGCAGGAAGTGGGTTTTTACGATTACCCGGAATCCCCCTCTCCTCTGCCTTATCATCTGCACTTTCACCTCCATTAGCCATTAATAATAGCCTATAAACAGCCTCTAGTCTTTGGAATATCCTGACTTTTGCAGGAGAGGCCCAAAGCAGGTAACTCTTCAGCTTAGCACTAATCATTGCCATTTTTCTTGTGAGTATAAAAACCATTGTTTCTGAATTTTCACAGCTTATCTTGAAGTTTTTTTCCCGGATCAGCAAGAACAATGACAAAGCTCCTGGCAGGTAAAACGATTACTATTTCTGGTGTCATAGGGAAAAGAAAATATCATAGAAAAATATAAGATTAATGATGTGGATAATATGGATGATGTGGGTTTTTATCTGAATTTGACTGTTTTCTGACCAAAACCAACCAAACTTCCCAAAAGAACAAGCCGTTTTGTCTAATTTCAAGAGTTGCTGCGATATAATTCTCAATCCAAGGAAGACATTTCTTGAATTTTCTTGAATCTTTTTAACCCTTGTGTCAAAAAAGTCAAAAATAACCGCCACAGACTAAAAGTAGACATTTTCAAACCCTAAATTAGGATCTAAATGTGTCCAAATGACTCAGGGCAGGTCAAGTTAGGAAAAATATAGTCAAAATTCAGCTCAAAACACAATTATTTAGGGTGCTTTTTGCTCAATGTGGTGGATTACTTTGACTTAAGGATAGGATAGGGTTAAAAACAAAACATTTTTGCTTGTCTCTTTGGAAAATGCTGTGTATTAGCGTTCAAAATATTCTCAATTAAGACTTGATTCTTGCATTCATCACCTTATTTTTGTTATTTTTGGCAGTGTATTGTGAATATTCTGTTTAACATTTGCCTTTTTGTGTTTTTTTTCTTCAGTTTTGGGTGTTCTGCTCACCCTGCACATGGGTAACTATCAAACCGTCGCCATTCGTTCACAAAGAATGAATATTAAATCACTTAATTGTTTTGTCTCTCTCGGTCCCAGCAACATCTAATAGGCTGATGTGTCACATGACCAACTGGGCCCAGTACCGACCCGGCAACGGGAAGTTCACCCCGGACAACATCGACCCGTTCCTCTGCACGCACGTCATCTACGACCTGGTCACCATCAACTCCCTCAACCAGATCGCTCCCATCGAGTGGAACGACGAGCAGCAGTTTGTGCGTCTCAACCTCCTCAAGAAAGTGTGAGTTTACATCGATATAATCCAGTCTGGTTCTGGTTCTGGTTCTATCAAGAAACTCCATCGACTCCGTTAACAGGTGGGAGGGGTTAACTCCTTTTGCAGATTGAAACGATTGGTTCTGAGTTTCCCGTCACGTATGTAATGAGCCCGAGTGAGTTGTTAGCATTTAGCATTTAGCCTAGCTTTAGCCATCTCCTTTGCTGCCGCTAACAGAGCCCGTGCATTCCTCTTGCTCCTGCTTCAATTTCTTGGTAGAACCAGACCAGATTACTTTACCATCACATTCTTCGCCAAACTACAACCTGCCCGTTCGATGCAAACTCTTGACGTCACCCACAACTAACTACAACACCCGCCTCCCGCGCTCTCTGATTGGTCGGATGGAATTCATCTGATTGTAATCTCAAACACAGGGACCAGACCCAGACGTTACAGGCAGGAAGTGATGATTGAGCGGAGTGTACGGATGGATAAGGCCAGGCTAGGATATGGAACCTGCAAATATCTATGTACACTGCAAAAAAAAACAAACTAGAAGGTGCTTGACTGTTTTTTTCTAAACCGGACCCTGCATCTTATAGGTCTATCATGTTCGAAATGATATAAAATATAAAATAAAATACAATAATGTGTTTTGTGATTGGACCAAGTGAATATGCACGAGGTCAGAAGGATCCTTTTGTAAGGGTACTCTCTCTGGTCTCTCTCTGGTCTCTCTCTGGTCTCTCTGGTCTTTCTCTGGTCTCTCTCTGGACTCTCTCTAGTCTCTCTGGTCTTTCTCTGGTCTCTCTCTGGTCTCTCTCTAGTCTCTCTCTATAGTCTCCCTCTGGTCTCTCTCTGGTCTCTCGCTGGTCTCTCTGGTCTTTCTCTGGTCTCTCTCTGGACTCTCTCTAGTCTCTCTGGTCTTTCTCTGGTCTCTCTCTGGTCTCTCTCTAGTCTCTCTCTATAGTCTCTCTCTGGTCTCTCTCTGGTCTCTCTCTGGACTCTCTCTAGTCTCTCTGGTCTTTCTCTGGTCTCTTTCTGGTCTCTCTCTAGTCTCTCTCTATAGTCTCTCTCTGGTCTCTCTCTGGTCTCTCGCTGGTCTTTCTCTATAGTCTCCCTCTGGTCTCTCTCTGGTCTCTCTCTATAGTCTCCCTCTGGTCTTTCTCTGCTCTCTCTCTAGTCTCTCTCTATAGTATCTCTCTTGTCTCGCTCTGGTCTCTCTCTAGTCTCTCTCTATAGTCTCTCTCTTGTCTCGCTCTGGTCTCTCTCTAGTCTCTCTCTATAGTATCTCTCTTGTCTCGCTCTGGTCTCTCTCTATAGTCTCCCTCTGGTCTTTCTCTGCTCTCTCTCTAGTCTCTCTCTCTGGTCTCTCTCTTGTCTCGCTCTGGTCTCTCTCTGGTCTCTCTCTAGTCTCTCTCTATAGTATCTCTCTTGTCTCGCTCTGGTCTCTCTATAGTCTCTCTCTATAGTCTCTCTCTTGTCTCGCTCTGGTCTCTCTATAGTCTCTCTCTGGTCTCTCTCTCTGGTCTCTCTCTGGTCTCTCTCTATAGTCTCCCTTTGGTCTTTCTCTGCTCTCTCTCTAGTCTCTCTCTCTAGTCTCTCTCTCTGGTCTCTCTCTTGTCTCGCTCTGGTCTCTCTCTGGTCTCTCTCTGGTCTCTCTGGTCTTTCTCTGGTCTCTCTCTGGACTCTCTCTAGTCTCTCTGGTCTTTCTCTGGTCTCTCTCTGGTCTCTCTCTAGTCTCTCTCTGGTCTCTCTCTGGTCTCTCTCTGGACTCTCTCTAGTCTCTCTGGTCTTTCTCTGGTCTCTTTCTGGTCTCTCTCTGGTCTCTCTCTGGTCTCTCGCTGGTCTTTCTCTATAGTCTCCCTCTGGTCTCTCTCTGGTCTCTCTCTATAGTCTCCCTCTGGTCTTTCTCTGCTCTCTCTCTAGTCTCTCTCTATAGTATCTCTCTTGTCTCGCTCTGGTCTCTCTCTAGTCTCTCTCTATAGTCTCTCTCTTGTCTCGCTCTGGTCTCTCTCTATAGTCTCCCTCTGGTCTTTCTCTGCTCTCTCTCTAGTCTCTCTCTCTGGTCTCTCTCTTGTCTCGCTCTGGTCTCTCTCTGGTCTCTCTCTAGTCTCTCTCTATAGTATCTCTCTTGTCTCGCTCTGGTCTCTCTATAGTCTCTCTCTGGTCTCTCTCTCTGGTCTCTCTCTGGTCTCTCTCTATAGTCTCCCTTTGGTCTTTCTCTGCTCTCTCTCTAGTCTCTCTCTGTTCTCTCTTCTGACAGTTTTTTCTAAGCCAGACCCTACATCTCTCATAGGTCTATCATGTTCAAAATAATAATAATAATAATAATACTGTGTTGTGTGATTGGAACACGTGAAAGTGCATGAGGTCAGAAGGATCCTATTGTTGTCGTGCTTTTCCTTGAAGACATTTGGACGCACAGGTGATGGTTGACGTGTGTCTTCCTCTTCTCTGGTTACACAACGCCTCCTGATGTCACTTGTTGTGTTAAAACTACACAACACAGTAACAATGAAGTGTGTGTGACATCTCCTGCAGTATCTATATATACAATACACACAATAGGATTTCTGTGTGTGCAAATAGTCAAACAAACCTCAGGCCACAGAGCTTAAAAGAAACAGAAAGGTGGTAGTATTGTTGTATGTTATGGATTCAGACTCATTCTATTTGCAGTAAAACCACATTGGAATACTTCTGCAAAAGTACAGAAAGAAAACGAGGTCAAAAGAACAGAAAATACCAAACAAAACTGGAAAGAATTGTCAGTGTGATACAAGTGAAAATCATCTCTATGGTCTCTCTATGGTCTCTCTCTGGTCTCTCTCTGGTCTCTCTATGGTCTCTCTCTGGTCTCTCTCTGGTCCCTCTATGGTCTCTCTCTCTCTAGTCTCTATATAGTCTCTCTCTGGTTTCTCTCTGGTCTCTCTCTAGTCTCTCTCTCTAGTCTCTCTTTCTGGTCTCTCTCTGCTCTCTCTATAGTCTCTCTCTGGTCTCGCTTTAGTGTCTCTCTTGTCTCTCTGGTCTCTCTCTATGGTCTCTCTATGGTCTCTCTCTAGTCTCTCTCTGGTCTCTCTCTGGTCTCTCTCTGGTCTCTCCTCTAGTCTCTCTCTGGTCTCTCTTTGGTCTCTCTTTCTAGTCTCTCTGGTTATTTTCCCATCTCCCTCTGATTTCTCTCTGGTCTCTCTCTGGTCTCTCTTTGGTCTCTCTCTGGTCTCTCTCTGGTACATCTGTAGTCTCTCTCCCTGATCTCTCTGCTCTCTCTGTCTCTCTGGTCTTTCTCGACTCGACCTGGTCAGTGTTTATCCCACACATGCCTGATATATAAAGGTCCTCTCTGCAGAAACCCCGGCCTGAGGACTCTGCTGACCGTGGGAGGGACAGTCCATGGAATCAGCCCGTGAGTATTACCTCCTATTGTTTCCTGTTGAACTCTGGGAAATGACCAGAAAATGACACCAACTCTACGTCTTGGTTTGTCCCAGATACATCTCGGTGGTCTCCAAACCAGAGAGCCGTGCCACATTCATCCGCTCCGTCCTCGCCTACCTGAGGACTCACAACTTTGATGGACTGAACGTGCACTGGGACTACCCCGGCCACAACGGAAGCCCCGTGGACGACCGAGAACGCTTCACTCTGCTGCTGTCGGTCAGTCCGCCAATATTCAAAGTTCTAGTTCCGGAAAAATACACCGCCATAATAATTGTTACAAACTGCACAGATTCTAGCTTCGTTCACTTTTTTGAAGATATTTGGTTATTTTTGTATTTGGGTCTCTCTCTCTGATCTCTCTCTAGTCTCTCTCTGGTCTCTCTCTAGTCTCTCTCTGGTCTCTCTCTGATATCTCTCTAGTCTCTCTCTGGTCTCTCTCTAGTCTCTCTCTAGTCTCTCTCTGGTCTCTCTCTAGTCTCTTTCTGGTCTCTCTCTAGTCTCTCTCTAGTCTCTCTCTGGTCTCTCTCTAGTCTCTTTCTGGTCTCTCTCTGGTCTCTCTCTTGGTCTCTCTCTAGTGTCTCTCTGGTCTCTCTCTGGTCTCTCTCTGGTCTCTCTCTGGTCTCTCTCTAGTCTCTTTCTGGTCTCTCTCTGGTCTCTCTTTGGTCTCTCTCTAGTGTCTCTCTAGTGTCTCTCTGATCTCTCTCTGGTCTCTCTCTGGTCTCTCTCTCTAGTGTCTCTCTGGTCTCTCTCTAGTGTCTCTCTGGTCTCTCTCTGGTCTCTCTCTAGTGTCTCTCTGGTCTCTCTCTGGTCTCTCTCTCTAGTGTATCTCTGGTCTCTCTCCCTAGTGTATCTCTGGTCTCTCTCCCTGGTCTCTCTGTGCTCTCTCTGGTCTCTCCCTCTGAAAAATACACCGTCATAATAATTGTTATACACTGCCCAGATTCTAGCTTATTTCACTTTTTTTGAAGATAATTGGTCATTTTTGTATGGGCCTTTCTGAGTGAAGTTTGCATGTTCGCCCTGGGTTTCCTCTGGGTGCTCCGGTTTTCCCCTACCACAAAAACATGCACAATAGGTCTGAATGTAATGAGTGAGTGATTGGATGGTGTTTGGTCGGAGGGTTTGATGGACCGGTGTGTTCGGAGTCTTGCTTCCGTCATCATCGTTTTTGGAGAGAACAGAACAATATCTCGCAATTTGGCCTGATTATTATCATCATTATAAGTCTCAGATTGCTTCTTTACTGTTATTTTTATTTTTTAAGTCTAAATCTAAAGCTCTTTGGGTGACTTTGGTCTGTAAAAATGCGCAATATGAATAAACAATACTTACTTACTTGATGTTTTGCCAATATACAGTATATATAAATGTGGATATTATATATATATATATATATATATCAAAATCCATTTCTGTCTCAAACCAGGAACTGGCCAAAGCCTTTGAGGTGGAAGCCGGGGACAGCAGGAAGTCCCTACTGCTGCTCTCCGCTGATCTGGGAAGTTTCCGCAGCACTGTTGACCGAGCCTACGAAGTCAGCAAGATCGCAGGGTAAGTCCCACAAAGGAAGCAAACAAGAATGTGGTCATTACGAATCTGGTCTCTCTCTGGTCTCTCTGTAGTCTCTTTCTGGTCTCTCTCTGGTCTCTCTGTAGTCTCTTTCTGGTCTCTCTCTGGTCTCTCTCTCTAGTCTCTCCTAGTCTTTTTCTGGTCTCTCCCTGGTGTCTCTCTGTAGACTCTCTCTCTGCTCTCTCTATAGTCTCCCTCTGGTCTCTCTCTGATTGCTCTCTGGTCTCTCTCTCTCTGCTCTCTCTATAATCTCTCTCTGGTCTCTCTCTCTGGTCTCTCTCTCTAGTCTCTCTCTGGTCTCTCTCTGGTCTCTCTCTCTAGTCTCTCTCTGGTCTCTCTCTGGTCTCTCTCTGGTCTCTCTCTCTCTACTCTCTCTCTAGTCTCTCTCTGGTCTCTCTCTGGTCTCTCTCTGGTCTCTCTCTCTCTCGATAATCTCTCTCTGGTCTCTCTCTGGTCTCTCTCTCTCTACTCTCTCTCTGGTCTCTCCCTGGTCTCTCTCTGGTCTCTCTCTCTAGTCTCTCTCTGGTCTCTCTCTGGTCTCTCTCTGGTCTCTCTCTCTCTACTCTCTCTCTAGTCTCTCTCTGGTCTCTCTCTGGTCTCTCTCTGGTCTCTCTCTCTCGATAATCTCTCTCTGGTCTCTCTCTGGTCTCTCTCTCTATAATCCCTCTCTGGTCTCTCTCTGGTCTCTCTCTCTCTATAATCTCTCTCTGGTCTCTCTCTGGTCTCTCTCTGGTCTCTCTCTCTCTATAATCTCTCTCTGGTCTCTCTCTCTAGTCTCTCTCTGGTCTCTCCCTGGTCTCTCTCTGGTCTCTCTCTCTAGTCTCTCTCTGGTCTCTCTCTGGTCTCTCTCTGGTCTCTCTCTCTCTACTCTCTCTCTAGTCTCTCTCTGGTCTCTCTCTGGTCTCTCTCTGGTCTCTCTCTCTCGATAATCTCTCTCTGGTCTCTCTCTCTAGTCTCTCTCTGGTCTCTCTCTCTATAATCCCTCTCTGGTCTCTCTCTGGTCTCTCTCTCTGGTCTCTCTCTGGTCTCTCTCTGGTCTCTCTCTGGTCTCTCTCTGGTCTCTCTCTCTCTCTATAATCTCTCTCTGGTCTCTCTCTCTAGTCTCTCTCTGGTCTCTCTCTGGCCTCTCTCTCTAGTCTGGTCTAAACACCTTATTGATCAGACTGAAACTGTAAGGACTTGGGTAACATGTTTAGAAATGGGTTTAGGATATGCACAGACTCCTCTCAGGGCCTTTCTGAAGGGAGTTTGCATGTTCTCCCTCTGTCTGTGTGGGTTTCCTCCGGTTGCTACGGTTTCCCCTACCACTAAAAAACATGTACAATAGAGCTGTACTGTACTGGCCTCGCTCCCATCTCTGTGTGGAGTGTACTAACTTACTTACTATTTGTTTAACATAGATTGTTTTTTTGTTCCCCGCCTATTGGCTAATGCAGCTTCCTGGGACTTCACTTTTACAAAACACTGTGTATAACTTGTCTGACTATGAAGTTTTGTAAATATCATATCATATCAGTCAAATCCCTCCGTATTCTCCACAGACACTTGGACTTCCTGAATCTGAAGACCTATGATTTCCACGGAAGCTGGGAGCCCTTCACGGGACACAACAGCCCTCTCTACGGAAGCGCAATGGATTCTGGGTCGTTCATTCACCATAACATCGTGAGTAAGCGCGTCAAAGTGCCATGTGCCTCCGGGTCCTGACTGAGCTCATGTGCTGCAGAACTCCTCGGTGTCCCACTGGCTCGCCGGAGGAGCGCCCGCGGAAAAGATCAACCTCGGATTCCCAACATACGGCCGCACGTACCGCCTCAGCTCCGGAGCCAGCGGCCTCGGGGCCCCAGCCATTGGTGCGGCAGAGGCAGGCCCCTATACTCGCACTGCGGGCTTCTGGTCCTACTACGAGGTATGCCATCAATAAGATTAAGATTAAGATTAAGATTTAGATGAAGAGATCCTGTATAAATCCCACAGTGGGGAAATGTCAGTGTTGCATCACAAGTTATAGAACAGTAGGAAAGAGGAGCACACAGCACAAGATAAGTGACAATAGCTATACTAATTAAATTAAAACAAAATGCATCAATAACAAGTATACAATCTAATAATCTAATAATGATAATTATAATAATAATAAAAAAGTATAAAACATTTACATTTAGCAAAATAAGAGGCAAGTATGAAGTAATGTGTATTCTAGTGCCTGCGATAAGTAGTTTTATGTTAGCATCTGTGTATGTTAGCAGCAGTATGTTAGCATCTGTACATCAGTAAAGTGACAGTGACATGTGGTTATTGCACATTCTGACATTTCAAGGATATTGCACATTCTGACATTTCAAGGATATTGCACATTCTGATATTAGGGGTGATTGCACATTCTGATATTAGTTGAGGTTATTGCCCATTCTGATCATAGTTAAGAATATTGCACATTCTGACATTAGTTAAGGTTATTCCACATTCTGTTATTAGTTAAGGTTATTGCACATTCTGATATTGGTTAAGGTTATTGCACATTCTGATATTAGATAAGGGTATTGCACATTCTGATATTAGATAAGGGTATTGCACATTCTGATATTAGATAAGGATATTGCACATTCTATTGTTAAGGTATTGCACATTCTGATATTGGTTAAGGTTATTGCACATTCTGATATTAGATAAGGTTATTGCACATTCTGATATTAGATAAGGATATTGCACATTCTGATATTAGATAAGGATATTGCACATTCTGATATTAGATAAGGATATTGCACATTCTGATATCAGTAAAGGACACACATACGTCAATGTTAATGTCAGGCTTTTGTCTGACATGTCGCCTAACACACATGTTGCTAACACACATGTCGCTAACATACATGTTGCTAACACACGTGTCGCTAGCACACGTGTTGCTAACACACGTGTTGCTAACACACGTGTGGCCCATGTGTGTGTTAGGTGTGTTCCTTCATTTCCGGTGGGACCGTGGAGTGGATCGACGAGCAGCAAGTCCCCTACGCCCACCAAGGCAGCGCCTGGGTCGGCTACGATGACAGACGGAGCTTCTCTTCAAAGGTGAACTCTCGCTCTTTCCCGTTTAACAAATTAAAAATTCCATATTAAACTGGTTTTTTGATCCATCAGGTCCAGTACATGACCACCAACAACTTGGGTGGAGCTCACGTGTGGACAATGGACATGGATGATTTCAGCGGCACGTTCTGCGGAGACGGGACTTATCCACTGATCAACCACCTCCGGATGTCCATGGGTAAATACATTAACATTAATGACCTTCAAATGCTTATATTTATATACGTTTTTGTTTATTTGTTGTTTTTGTTGAATGTTGATTTGTCTGTCTGTTTTGTTGTCTTTAGGAAAAAGGAAAAAGATTTTGTATCTTGGTGAAGAATATTGTTATCGCGATATTGGGACAATATTTTTTCGATATGGATATTGTATGTACCAATACCGAGATAACAATATTTTTTCTATTTGGATATTGTATGTACCGATATCGCGATAACAATATTTTTTCGATATGGATATTGGATGTACCAATATTGCGATAACAATATTTTTTCGATATATATTACATATCATACTGTATCAAATGGACGTTATTATTTTCTTCCTTAGGATTTGGACCCAAGCCGACCACCACCCCGGCCCCCACCACCACCCGGGACCCCGTGGCGGACTTCTGCAGGGGCCGTCCCGATGGCCTGTACGAGAATGCCGCGGACAAAACCACCTACTTCCAGTGTTTCCAAGGCAACACTTACCTGCACCGCTGCCAGCCCGGCCTCATCTACTGGGACTCCTGCAAATGCTGCAACTGGCCCTGAAATAAACATGAATAAATATGTTTCATGCATTTATAAAAGGTTCAGATCCAACGGGTACAAAATAAACATGTGACACCAAAACATGTCTGGGTTATTTTAATAAAAGGTCAATGTGAAGAAAGACAATAACACGTATGAAGCACTGATAAAGAGTATCTTTCATTCAGTATATTAGAAAATCAAATTCATTTTATTTGGCATTTGCAGTTAAACCACATTGGAATAGACACGAGCACATAGATAAAAAGGTTAAACGTGGGAGAATAAGACTTCCCATTCTCACTGGATTTCTGGATTGCCGATAAATGCAGAAAGTGGTGAACAGATTAAATAAAGTCAGGACTAATCTTTATTCTAAATATCGCTTTTGTAAAACACAGAGATGGAAGAAGGGTCACCGTACAGGAGGTGCAGGCTGGACTTAAACACACTGAAAAGCTCAAATATGGGTCAGATTTATTTAGAAAAAAAACAGAAATCATGATTATAAATTAATGACAAGTGTTTTTTTTTTTACTTGAAACTATTCTGTTTTAAGATTATTTGACTGGTTTAGTTCAAATTCATAATCTTGTTTGAGAAGAAAGTCCGAGCAGTGAGTTTTTAAGCTTGTTTAAGTATTTTTTTCTTATCTTCAGACAACTTTGCTTGTTTATAATTAATTTAATAGGTGTTTATTTTATTATTTAAAGTAGTAGCAGTAGATTCAAAAGAGTTTCCTTTTCCAAGTGTAACCCAGGTCTTTTCCTCTGATCCTCATTGATTCCCAGACAGTTCATTGGCCCCGCCACTGATGGCGCTGTAGTTAAAGTATGGCCATCAGGGTCATGCACGGTCTGGCTACTTCCTGTTAGCCCTTCCCTGTGTGGCAGTCTAGCTGAAAGCGTCTGTAACTAACAGAAAACTGATCAGAAAACTTCCAGCATTCAGCGGTCAGGTTTTTTTTCCACCCTGAACCAGAACTGAATTAAAATTCCTCTTTTGAGGTGGCGAGCTGAGCCCAGAAGCCTGCAACTGGTAGGACCTTTATTTTTTCCCCAATACGTGGACACTTTGAGTTTGGACACCTTTCCCCCCTGGAATGAAGGATTATTGTTTTTTTTCTAAAAAGGAATCTACTTTGTTTTCTACAAAACTTTCTAAACGTAACTGAACTTTCCTCTCAACCGAGAGTTTCGAACTGAGAACTATTAAAAAGGGTTTTTTCCCATGGTTGGGTTTTCCCTTTACATCTTGTTTTGAGAATCTTTTTTTTTGCACACTTTGAATATTGAACTTTGTTTTTGAAATATATTGGTTATATTTATTGATTGCTTGTTTTCCACTTCTACCTTCTACACACAAAAAAGAAACATTTATAAATACAATATTTTTTATTCCGTTACTCCGTCTCCCTGGTCCTCATTCCCACAAGCTCCTCTCACGTATTTAGTTTCTTTCTGTCAGTCAGTCTTAGTTTCCTTGCATCCCTTAGCCCTAACCTAATTGTTTGTTATTCACTTACTTTAAATTAGTGTTACACAAGCACACTTTGTCCAGATCCTTCGGACAATCCTGAGGCAGCCACCTTTTTATTATTCACCAAAAATACTCATTTTTATTGACCTTTTGCGTTCTTAAATTTAACTTTTCCAAATATGGAGCTGCTCTGTCACATAAAAGGTCAATTTTAAAACACACTGAAGAAGAAGGAAGCAGTTTAGGGTCAGGGTTTGTTTTTCTGAATTTGGATACTGCCATAGTCCTGTGATAGTTTGTCAGAGAAGAGGCCTGTCTCACATCTTCAGGAAGATTGTTCCAGTTGACTGGTTTAGATAGGTTAGATAGGTTTCATAACAACAATCTCCTACTGTCATCCTAAAAGTTTATGTTCAATCATGGAAAGTATTCCATCAAAAATAGTTGGCTGAATATCAAAAGGGAAATGTGATCAATTCAAAAGTTTTCGCCCCATGATTGATTAATAAGCTCTGCCAAAGGAGCTGAACACGTTCTACTGTCGCTTTGAATCCGCTGATGCCTGTCCTACTGTATTCCCTGAGTGTTTCAATCAAGGTACCTTCACCGTGACTCAGGAGGAAATCAGGCGTGTCTTGTCCAGGACCACAGTCCGTGTAGAACTGCACCAACATCTGTGCAGGCAGCTTGGCTTTCCTGAGCTGCCGCAGGAAGTACATCCTCTGCTGGGCCTTCTTGATGAGGGAGCTGATGGTCGGCTTCCACTTGAGGTCCTGGGTGATGGTGGTGCCCAGGAAACGGAAGGACTCCACAGAGGTGATGGGGGAGTCCATCACGGAGGGTGGGGGCGGGGGGACAGTGCTCTTCCTGAAGTCCACAATCATCTCCACTGTCTTCTGGGCGTTCAGCTCCAGGTTGTTACCACTGCACCAGGACACCAGCCGGTCCACCTCCCTCCTGTAGGCGGACTCATCGTTGTTGGAGATGAGTCCAATGAGGGTGGTGTCGTCCACGAACTTGATCAGCTTCACGGAGTCGTGGCTGGAGGTGCAGTGGTTGGTGTACAGGGAGAAGAGCAGGGGAGAAAGAACACAGCCCTGTGGGGCTCCTGTATTTATAATCCGAGAGTAAGAGACATTCTTCCCCAGATGCACTCGCTGCTTCCTGTCCGTCAGGAAGTCAGTGATCCACCTGCAGGTGGAAACGGGCACGTTGAGCTGGGAGAGCTTGTCCTGGAGCAGGGATGGCAGGATTGTGTTGAAGGCAGAGCTGAAGTCCACGAACAGGACCCTGGCGTAGGTCCCCGGGGAGTCCAGGTGCTGTAGGATGTGGTGGAGGGCCAGGTTAATGGCGTCGTCTACAGATCTGTTGGCTCTGTAGGCGAACTGCAGGGGGTCCAGGAGGGGGGAGGTGAAGGACTTGAGATGGGAGAGAACCAGGCGTTCAAATGACTTCATGACGACAGACGTACAGTAAGTGCTACAGGTCTGTAGTCGTTGAGTCCTGTGATCCTGGGCTTCTTCGGGACGGGGACAAGAAAAACAGAGCAGCAACAAAGCTCTTAGGATTGTTAATGACTCTTCTGGCCACCCTGGAAAAGCCATGTTTCAGCTTCTTCCCTCTGGCAGAAGATATCGCTCTCTGAGATGCAGGACATCTCGTTACGCCAACAGTTTTTATCCACAGGCTGTTATCAGTGTGAACAGAGCACTTTAATGATTTGCACTTGTTTTGAAACTGTTTTAGTCGATCGATTTCACAGTGACATTTGTTTACTGTTTTATTTGTTTTATTTCTGTCTTTCAATGTTATTTTATGTCTGTATTTGTCTGTGCACACTGGAGACTTGTTGCTAATGTATTCCAATGTGGTGTTTTTACTACAAATGGAAAATAAACTGAATCTGAATCTAATAAGGAGGTTTTTAGCAGCATTTGCACAACTCATGAATTACTCAATATTTACATTCTGTAGCACTTAAACTACATTCATGACACTGTATTATTCATGGTTTAAAGCTGCAATACCTCACTTTATTTTTGTATTCATTAGTTAAATCCAATCCATATCCGTGCAGTGCATCGGGGTGTACGTCCTTTTGAAGACTAAGTAGCGCTGGTTTGTGCTGGACTGTCATTTTATTTTAGTTCGAGTTTTTGTGAAACGAGGAAGAGAATGTGTTTCGGGTCCAGATTGTGACCAATCACAGCGGACCACTGGCCCCCACTTTCTTGAGAAAAGCCACAGGTCTGAGGTTAGCACAGACAGCTGAGGTAAACAAGCGGCGGAGGCTAACCTGAAACTTCCCGTCTCTTAGTTACCGGTTACTGCTTACTCAGAGAAACAGACAAAAGAAAGTCTCGTTCCTCCGCGCTTCTCAGTTCTATCGTTCTATGGTCACGCCACGTTCAAATGTGTGATCCATATTGTGAGACGAGTGGGGGGGTTAGTGAGGGGGCGATAGCTTCGTGAGTGTGGGGAGGACGAGCAGAAAGACCGAGGCCAGTGCTCACATTCGAACATTTCACAAAGTGAGTTAGTGCAGCTTTAAAAATGTGTCCAGATCTTTTGTCTGTTAAAGCTGGTGTACCTAACTTCCAAACCACTAACATTTAAAGTATAAAATAAAGACCTCTCTGTGGTTCGGTCTCTGTAGTTTCCTCGTGGATGTGTTTTTGGATTAGAATTAGAATGAGTCTGGTGTGTGTGTGAATGGTTGGTGGTGGTGGGAGGAGCCGATTGATTAGTGTCCAAAAAAGCCCTATTTAAAACTTATTTATTCATGTTATTTATTAGACAGGGACATTGTAAGTCATAGAGAACCAAACAAGCTTTTAACGGATGGAAAAAGAGTTTATAGCTGTTTCTAATTTTCAACTCCAGTCCCTGTTGGGCCTCTCTGCACTACAGTAACATTGTCAATATTATCTTAAAAACTTACCTATACACACTGTTTAAATTATTTAATATAAATTTAGTGATATTTACACATTTACAAATGGGTAAATGGTTTAAAATTCAGTGGGTAATGAATTCAACAACTTTGCACTTCTGCTGTAAATGTAAATGCAGATGAAGTCAATACCAATACAATGAATAATACATTATTATTATTATTATTTGGAACAGATTTTTCTGAAAAGTGACAAAAAAGGAGCACTCCGACTCTGCCCATCTACCGTCAGGCCGAAAGAAGTGACTCCCAGGTCTCTTTCTCACTTGTATGCAAAACAAGTTAATTCAAAAATGACAAGACAGAATGTTTTTTTACTTTAGAACGACCAGAGCAGAGAGGATTCATGGTTTTACACTGGTCCAGACCAGAGCAGAAAATGGTCTGAACCAAGCTCATCCTCTGCTGCTGTGACCTGAAGGACTGATGTTATTATTATTGTTAGCTTTTTAGAATGATCAATTTTATTTTATATTTTTTCTGCTACTGGACAGAATTTCTTCTACGTGGATCAATAAAGAATCTATCTATGTTTTGGTCTGATTTGTTCAATGCATTTGACTTTTTCTGTGAAGACAAATAAAATGTATTGTTATGAAGAAAGAAATGTTGTAACTTATTATCTTTGGTTAATGGAATCTATTGAATACACTTATGAGAGAATGGACATTCTTTGAATATGAAGTATCATTAATAAACGGCTGAGGGCAGGAACAAAACAAACACAGTCGGAGTCATCAGTCACTGTAATCTGGAAAGATTGACTGAATCACTTTATTTAAGGTCACAGAACATTCATTAATGAGCCGCTGAGCAAAGTGCAGCTCCAGGTTCTGCACCGGTGGCACCAGGACTGAGATAAAAGAATACATTAGTAATAACATAGAAAGATATACATTAATGTTGTTGAGTTACTTTGGTCAGTTACAAAAGTATAAAGGAAAATGCTTTTTGAAAACATTTAATCTTTGAAACACTTTTTTACCGTTGTAAATATGTTTCATGCAGACACAGAAGGTAAGTCATGTAATGTGTGTAATTGTAAGTGAGTAATTAGATAGACACACACACACACACACACACACACACACACACACACACACATACATAGGCAAGGCAAGTATATTTGTAAAGCATTAAAATCATAAATAATCACAGAACATTAAAAAGAAAGATAAAAATATAAAATCCCTCAGTTGTAGCACAGCTAAACAGAACTGTCTTTTATCCTGGTTTTAAACATTGTCAGAGACATACACACACATACACACACACATACATACATGGGTGATAGATTCTTTATTGATCCTGTTGGAGAAATGCAGGTGTCCAGCAGCAGCAGAAACACATCCATCCAGACAAACAAAACAAATAAATATATAACTCTAAAAGTATCTAACAATATTATTAAATCCAACAGTTCTTCAGGTCATAGCAGCAGAGGTGGAGTAGCCTCTGGGTGGAGCAGGACGGGTCACAGCAGCAGAGGTGGAGTAGCCTCTGGGTGGAGCAGGACGGGTCTCAAGGTGGAGTAGCCTCTTGGTTCAGACCATTTTCTCTGCTCTGGTCCAAAGTAAAATGCTAAATTCTTCATTAGCATTTTTCATAAAGTTAGCATTCCTCCAGTGGATTTTCACCTGATCCACTTGGTTCGGACCATGAATCAAATAGTTCAAATGTCTTAGTTAAACGAAAAGAGTCAAAGTTAAATGTTGAAAATAATGTAATGTCCTGATATAAGGATAATAAATACACACTGCAAAAAAATTGCCTTTGAAACACGTTTTACTGTTGCAAATGTGTTTCCTGCAGACACAAAATGCGCCAAAAACAATTTTTGTCATTTTTTATTTTTTAAATTGGCTTTACATGTCATTATTCATTCTCTGGTGATAAACTACTTCTGTAGCCACAGCTGCCCTGGGGCACACTGACAGAAGCGAGGCCACCAGTCTGTGCCATCAGCCCCTCCCACCACCACCAACCATTCAAAATATATATATGTATAATTGGCTGACTTGTAAAACTGTAAATATACCACTGAATAAGCTCAACAAACACGTCATTCAGTGAATTTAGAATCATAAATTGGGGATGGGAGTTTAAAAATCTTAATTTCTTCCCACTCCTGGATTTTTGTTTCTAAAACCAAACATACTGTATATTTGTATCATCATGTATCTATTCTGTTGTTGTTCTTCGTGTTTGCTATGGCTTGAAATAAAGTATTCATTCATTCATCATTCACTTTCTCCTTTGATAACATGAAGGTTAAAATAAAATAAGTTTATAAGTTTATAAAATAATAACTTTAAGAAGGTGACAATCATTTCTCGATAAATCTCTGAACAAAATAACCCTTTGATCTTAGCGATTTCTAATTGTCTCAATTAAATTTCTCTCTCTTTCGCGTTGAAGCTTCGCGGTGACTTCAGGTCGTAACCATAGCAACAGCTCTACACACAATCACAAAGGAGCAGAAACGAGATAAGGCCTTTCTCATCACGATCCAGCCGGTAGCGCAAACGAACTGCTTTTTATTGAGAGTTTATTGAATTAATTGGCGTCAAACTGCAAACACAGAATTATCTCCTCTGTGTTAATTAGGTCAAGACCAAGGACACGTTACGTAAGAGCCGAGCCGTACCAGGCCGTTCAGACTATCTCCTCTGGATGTGGTTAATATGTGAACAGATGATAAGTATTTCACAAAACTTGATGACAAAACTAAAGAGTTTATTAACAACACATTTTACAGCCCTTTTTCCATGTATTTATCTTTTTACTACCTACAGTTTTGAAATCGTATGAAGGGACCCCACCCCAGCGCTGCAGAGAGCCGTGTATAAAAGGAGCCAGAACACTCATGAACATCGGCCTCCTGCAAAAGTCCCAAGGTAAGAGTGTTCTGGAGGCATGGGCCCTGAGCCAAACGGATAAATATTATGATAAAAATGTACAAATGTGTCTGAGTGGAGAAGTGGGACAGTAACTTACACCCAAGGTCACTACATCTACTTGTTTATTGTGATTCACAGAAAGCTGCAAGAACTCAACATCAACATGACAAAGCTCACAGTTCTCGCAGGTGAAGTGCTTGACATAAACACATATATTTCTGTAGAACTGTAGACTAATCTCTCTTTCTTGTGATTTCCAAAAAGGCTTGTGTCTTGTGATGGGCCAGTTGGGTAAGTGTCAAAACATCTCATTGTACCATTGTTTGGCTCTGGCTTCAGGACCAGAGGAGACAGGTCCTTCCAGGCTGTCGCTCCCAAGCTCTGGAACGTTCTACCGCTCTCTCTGCGTTCTATAGCGTCTGTAGAGAGCGTCAAAAGTCAACTTAAAACACATTTGTTTGTTCAGGCTTTTGCGTAATTTTATCTTGCTGTTTTTTACATGGTTGTCATGGCCTTTAAAAATGTGTATGTCTGTTTTATACTATGTGAAGCGCTTTGTGAAAGTCTGTGAAGGGCGCTATATATGTACAAAGTTTACTTACTTACTTACTTACTACTTTTGTTAATGTTCTTTTCTTTCCTTATCTAAGCGTCTGCATCCCAGATGATCTGCTACTTCACCAACTGGTCCCAGTACAGACCTGGCACCGGGAAATACATGCCCCAGAACGTGGACCCCTTCCTCTGCACACACCTCATCTACGCTTTCTCCATCATCAATCCCAGAAACGAGTTGGTGACTTACGAATGGAACGACGAGACCCTGTACAAAACCTTCAATGGCCTCAAGAGCAAGTATGAACCAAAAATATATTCTTCAACTAATTCAACAAGCAGTATCTTAAATGAATGTGTTGGTCTGAAGGAACACCGGTCTGAAGACTTTGCTCGCTGTGGGAGGATGGAACTTTGGGTCAACACAGTGAGTCCAAACATTTACCCACTTTTCTGTCTGTTATAAATATTCTAACAAAACTTAGACAGACTTTATAGATCCACAGGGAGAATGTGTTGTCACAGAAGCTTGCGTAGTATACCACAAAAAATAGCAATGGAAATAACAATAAAGTAAACGACCTGAAAATAATATTCATAATAATAATAATAATGCCAAGATACTATTGTTAGAATGGAATAATATGGGAATTCTTGGGTTTCATTTGACGTCAGGGCAGTGGAATAACAAACGTAGGACAGGACGTGACGTATCCTGGAGGTGCAGTCTGCCGGGTTTATACACGGAGATATAGTAGAAGAAGAAGCGGTTTATACACGGAGATATAGTAGAAGAAGAAGTGGTTTATACACGGAGATATAGTAGAAGAAGAAGTGGTTTATACACAGAGATATAGTAGAAGAAGAAGTGGTTTATACACGGAGATATAGTAGAAGAAGAAGTAGTTTATACACGGAGATATAGTAGAAGAAGAAGTGGTTTATACACGCAGATAAAGTAGAAGAAGAAGTGGTTTATACACAGAGATATAGTAGAAGAAGAAGAGGTTTATACACGGAGATATAGTAGAAGAAGAAGAGGTTTATACACGGAGATATAGTAGAAGAAGAAGTGGTTTGTACACGCAGATATAGTAGAAGAAGAAGTGGTTTATACACGGAGATATAGTAGAAGAAGAAGCGCTGTCAAAATGTCATCTTTTTGTGCGGTGTACGCTTGTAGCAACCACACAAATAGAGAGAAAGACAGGAGTTTGTTCATGTTCCAACTGTGGTCTCATATAAAGGAGGACACTTCACTCACTGGAACAAAATCACTGGAATCAAGGCTTCCCCAGATAAGTGCCCCCTGCAGGCCACCCCAATGAAACGCAGCCATTTCTTCTGTTTTGCCCGAAATCAAGACTCTTTTGAGAAATATTTTTAGTACTACCTTAGAATTGAGTGTCCCCGATTAAGACTGTTCCAACAACCGTACACCGCACAGGAGCAGAGCCTTTGACTCCAAAACAGACTTTACATGGTTTTCAATGGGAGCAAAACTGTCCTACCTCTGCTCATGCGCCCCCTACTGGCCAGTTTAATGAAACCCAAGAATAGGAACTCAGGAATAAACAAGTGCAAGAAACAATGTATCATCTTTTCATCAGGTTCTCCATCATGGTCTCCACTCCAGCCAATCGTCAGACTTTCATCCAGTCTTCCATCCGATTCCTGAGGACCCATGGCTTTGATGGTCTGGACTTGGACTGGGAGTACCCTGGATCCCGAGGAAGTCCCCCAATAGATAAACAGAGGTTCACTCTTTTGTGCAAGGTCAGTGTTCCACCACAGACTGATGGGTAAAGTCATCAATCCAAGAGCTAAACTGTTGGTGCAAAGAACAATAACTGTAAGGAGCATATGCAGACAGTATTTAAAATAAAATAGTTGATTTCTGATTTCGTAGGAACTGGTAGAAGCCTACGCAGCAGAGGCTAAGATATCAGGCAGGCCTCAGCTCATGCTCACAGCTGCAGTGTCCGCTGGAAAGGGAACCATCGACGCTGGATATGAGATCGCAGAGATTGCTAAGTAATGTGGTCGTATATATATGTCTGAAAATGAAAATCCAGTTGCAACTCAAACTAAATGATGATGAAATGGCAGGTACTTGGACTTCATTAATGTGATGACGTATGACTTCCACGGAGCCTGGGAGAGATTCACTGGACACAACAGCCCACTGTACCGCGGCTCTCATGACAGCGGGGATCTCATTTACTTCAACACAGTAAGCTAACGTTATTCTATAGTATAAGTGCATGTCACGGTCTGGACACGGTCACAAATCATTATCTGTTATTAGGATTATGCCATGAAATACTGGAGAGACCAAGGAACCCCCTCTGACAAGCTGAGGATGGGATTTGCAGCTTACGGTCGCACTTTCCGACTGACCTCCTCCAGCACGAGTGTCGGAGCGCCCGCTAGTGGTGCCGCATCCGCCGGACCTTTCACTCGGGAGGCCGGATTCTGGTCCTACTATGAGGTAATGACTCTGAGGGGGGGGGAATTTACCGGATGGTCGTGAAAACCAGGTTATACTAAAGATATCCTTCGCAATCCTTCCCAGATTTGCACGTTCTTGAAGGGGACAAGTATCCAATGGATCGCTGACCAGAAGGTTCCATATGCCAGCAAGAACAGTGAATGGGTGGGATTTGACACCAAAGAGAGCTACGAAACAAAGGTACGTCGCAACTATCCACAAGAAAGTCCACCCCACCATTATAGAATTTAAAAAAACATTATAGACGTTGATGCACAATTAGTAATAACTGTTGCTGTTGAGCACGGCGCTTGCTCGCGTGCATAATCCCCCCCTGGGCCTAGGTACTGGTGACGGCAGAGGCAGTAGGCAAGCACGCTTTGGTGAGAAAAGGAGGAGGTGGGGCGGCGGAGGCTTGCAGACTTCAGAAGGCCGGGAAGTGGGCGTCTCCGGCTTTTAACTTGCTGTCCTGGTGGTTATTGGTGGATTGGATGTGGGCGTTGCTGGTATTGATGAGTCGAGGAAGAGCAGCCTGTGGCCTGGGCAGCAGCAGCCGGGTCTACCACAGTGAACTTTCGCGAAAGCTCCATTTGCGTTGTCACAGTAGCTTGCATAGAATTTCACAAAAAATAAAATTAAAGAATAATAACAAGATAATATTGTGAGAATAGAATATTCTGGATATAGGGTTACCACACTCAGGAAAATACCTTTCTGTGAATATGTGCACATTTACAGTCTAAAATACAGAGATTATAGCATACTGCACATCTGTTAATATACCTAATGGATAGATAGATAGATAGATAGATACATAGATAGATAGATAGATAAATGAATGGAGGAATTAGTTTCTGTTTTCTGAAATAAATAGTGTTTTAAATGGATCCTTAGGTGCAATATATGAATGACAACAATTTCGGAGGTGTGTTCGTCTGGGCCTTGGATTTGGACGACTTCAACGGAGAGTTCTGCGGACAAGGAAAACACCCACTGATGGGCCATCTCAGCAAACTTGTGACCGGTGGTAAGTTTCTCATTTTCATTAACTATTAGACAGTAGCTCAGTTGGTAGGGCATTGGCCTTTGAGCCTGAAGGTCGTGGGTTTGAGCCCACCACAAGACCTTCTCCACCGACTCCCACTAAAGGCTGCTGTTGTAGTGTCCTTGGCAAGACACTTAACCAGTAGGTGCCACAGTGGGGCGGCTGTGGCTGTAAAGTGCCAAACCATTGCTGGGAATGAGTCTGGTGTGTGTGTGAATGGTTGGTGGTGGTGGGAGGGGCTGATGGCACAGACTGGTGGCCTCGCTTCTGTCAGTGTGCCCCAGGGCAGCTCTGGCTACAGTAGTAGTTTATCACCAACGTAAATGAATAATGACGTGAAGTGTCTTGAGTGTCCAAAAAAGTGCTGTATAAAACTGGTGCATTATTATTAGCTTGCATAGTAAAAATGCACAATAAAAATAACAATAAAGTAAAAATCTGAAAATAAGAATAAAAATGAAGAATAGAAAACGGTAATCATTTTTTCTCACATCCTTTCCTTCCATCTCACAGGGGTGCCTCCTCAGCCTGGAACTACTACCAACAGACCAGGCGTTTCGACCACAACCGGCAGACCAGGCGTTTCGACCACAACCGGCAGACCGACCACCACCCCCAGACCCGGCCCAACCACCACCACCACCCTCCCTCCGCCCGGGCCAAACTTCTGCAAGGGCCTGGCTGATGGAATTTACGCCCACCCGACCGACCAGACCAAGTTCTTTGAGTGTGCCGGCGGGAAAACCTTTGTGAAGAGCTGCGGCGGAGGCACAGTGTTCGACAACGCCTGCAAATGCTGCACTTGGCCCAAGAATTAAGGAAGGAAACAGAAAACTATTAGAAAGTACCATAAAACAATAAAGTTCTATGTCACTCCTAAATGTCTTTGTTTTCATTAAATCCACATTCAGAAATTGCTAAAAAATGATTGGGTTTGTAGACGGACGGCAATGCTAATCAGATTAAGATTAACAGATTCTGTATTGGTCCCACTGCGGGGTGAATTTCAGTGTTGCATCACAAGTTACAGAAGCACACAGCACAAGGTAAATGTATAAAAACTCTAAAATAAAATCTCTAACTCTATCATACAAAGAAGCAGTGCATAATCACTTTTACGATTGGGTTTGTGGACAGGTGGCAATGCTTTTTGTTACCGGGGCGAGACAATAAGTAAACATACACAGACTAGGGTACATATTTACATTATTTATTATTACATTGGAGGGAGGCAGGGCTTGAACCCAATCAGCACCAGACAGACAAAAACCCAAGACCGAAAACTGGTTTATGCAATGCACAGGTCGGGAACAGGTTTAGCTCGTCTGGATGTGAGCCTCGGAGAAGTGACCCCATAGGGTAAGGGTTAGACGGCCTTTACACAGAGCTCTGGATGTAATGAGCCAGGCAGAATAACTAAAAAAGGAAAATACACTTAAAGAGGACAGCAGGTAATGCTAAAACCAGTGTAAAACAGAAAAACAAAAAACCCTTAATAGTCATAAACAAAACTTTAATAATTTAAAAACCTTAAAATCCTGTGCGTTGCAAATCCCCACACACAGCTCCACACAGATCTCCCAAACAGCACGGGACAAACAATTCCATAATACAATTACTGCATACATTATTTTAAAAACTTTACTTTTGGCCAAACACACTCACACACACATTGGCCCAGCAAACACTCTGGCCGCCCACGGAAACTGGCACCTGTCTGGCACACAGCGACACCCAAAGGTGACGATTAAACTAATTATTCGTCCCGCAGCACGGGAAATTTCAGTGTTGTATCACAAGTTACAGAAGAGTAGGAATAAATAATAACTCTATACTAGGATTTAAAAAAAAAAATCAAACATCTCTAACTCTAGCATAAGAATAAGAAGTATATCATCTCTGTCTTTAGCCCATGATGAAGAAGCAAGACTTAACAAAACCACAGACTTCAGCAAAATAAGGAGCAACTTCTATCCATCCATCTTCTTCCCCTTAATCCATTTCTGGGTCAGGAGGTGGCAGTCAGAACCCTCACTGATCCTCCTGCTGGTGCTGAGTCCACATGATCTTTCAGTGGGGGCTTCAGGCCAAGTGCGGTTAAGTGTCTTGCCCAAGGACACAACGACAGCAGTCATCAGTGGGAGTCGTGAAGTAGGTCTTATGGTGTTCTCGAACCCACGACCTTCAGGCTCAAAGGCCAATGCTCTACCAACTGAGCCACTGTCGTCCAACTTTTCCTTGTTTTTTTTTTATGGCTGGGATGAACATTCTGACGGTGCGCAAGCTAACGGCAACACGGTGGCAGAGGTTAGCCGTCTCACCTCAGCGTGATCTCGGGTTAAACACTGAAAACATGCACAGGACTGAAAACGGCAGGATTGGAATGACGCAGAGTGGACTGGAGCTTTATAAACTCACAAATGTAACGGTAATGTATTAATTTTGATGCAACTGAAGTTTAAATCAAACCAAAGTAAATCCATTAAAATGAACAATAAAAAGCTGTAGTTTGACTTTTAAAAGTTTGATGTTTTAGCACACGGATTGACCCTTCTTAACTTTGAAATGAGCAATATATTTGTGTTATAATTTGCCCAACACTGTTTATATAAAACTATAAAACTCTTCTATACTTTTATCGCAGTGTATTCACTTCATTCCGATCTACTTTAATTGTATGGCACATTTCATAACTTTCCAAAGGGTTCCATCGATCTATGCGTGGGAAGAGTCTGACATTATCTTTTATAACCCTCAGAGACGGGGCGACAGTGGCTCAGATGGGAGAGCATTGGCCTTTGGGCTGGAAAGTTGTGGGTTCGAGCCCACCTCGGGACCTACTCCAACTGCTCCCACTAATGACTGCTGTCTTTGTGTCCTTTGGCAAGACACTTAACCCTACATTGCCTGAAACACCAAGGCTGTGGCACCACTGATGTAGCAGCCATCTTCCTGTGGACCCTCTGCAGACTGGTGCTGTGAGCATTGTCTGGCAGCTCTCATCGGGCCTCATTTATGAAACTTGCGGACGCCCAAATCAGGGTGTAAATGAGGCGTACGCAAAAAATTTACACTTTTCGGCATTTATCTATCTGGACGTGGGCGTTCGGTACGCACAGAATATACGCCAAGTCAACAGGTGGTGTACGCTTCATTACAACACGCCAAAACACGCATGAAATGGACTAATAAAAATGAATTTTAATAAAAATGAACCTTCAGAGACAGCTTCATTGGGGATGGAAGTTGCAAAGCATTATGGGTCATGTGCATGTCGCTAATACAGCCGACATATTTTGGCAGAATTTATAATTTCTTGGTCTTTTTCATAGATTTTGAAAAACACTCAATGATTATTTTCCCACATAAGGATAGTGGTTTGAAGCCAAGTGCTTTTCTTCTAGTTTTCCAGCGAGACAGATTTCTCCGAAGGCTACGGTTCTGTCCATATCACTGCATGTATTTATTAATCACTACACAAATGTATACATCACAACGTATTCTGGTATAATACTACATACAACATATATTTATACATCACAAAAAACTGAATGAAAGGTGAGAACTGCAGTGTTTTATCCAAAATAAACCAAACAAAATTCCACTAAAGCAAACTCAGCTTGTAAAAAACAGTTCTTAATAAAAGGCCTCAGAGTCTTCTCCAAACAAACTCTTTAGTGACTTAACTATAATAAAGATAAATGAACTTTGTTTCATCAGAGCGATAATCAAACAGAAAATGAAACGTATTAATAATCACAGCCTCTGTTTCTTTATCACTAAAATAACTCCAATAAAAAGGATTGGTCTAAATTCTTTCATTTTCATTTCTCCAGAGAAAGAACATTTGAAGACACCACACTGAGTATTGTGAGTCCTGCGAGCTGATTGGTCGAGAGAGACTTCCTGAACGAGAAAGCGTCTCTCAGCGACAGAGGCCATGGTTTTTTTAAGTTACTGAATTCTACTTTTTAGTTTTTGCAGCTGGAGAACAAATACAAAGTACAGCCGTTTTCTAACAAAGAAGAAGAAAGTAAAGTATACGCAATAAAAAAAAAATGTCAAAGAAAACAGAAAAAACTGTTTAAAATGATTTCACACATGCTTAACCTTACGTTTTGGGCACAGTGGCTGAGTGGTTAGCCCGGTCGTAACAGGGCCGCTCTGAGTGGATTTTACATGTTTTCCCGGTGTCTACGTAGGTTTCCTCCAGGTGCTCCGGTTTCCCCTACCACTAAAATCATGCACAATAGATCTGAATGTAATAAGTGAATGGATGGTGTTTGGTCGGAGGCTTTGATGGACCAGTGTGTTCAGCGTCTCGCTTCAAGAGTTAAAATCACTCCACTGGCTTCTGTGGAGTACAGAATAAAGTTTTAAATTTTTCTTTTAACAAACAAAGCCATAAATGGCTTGGCTCCTTCTTATCTCCAAGACATTTTAATGTCTTATCAACCAAGCCAAACCAACAGACCTGTAGCACTTACGTCTGTCGTCATGAAGTCATTTGAACGCCTGGTTCTCTCCCATCTCAAGTCCCTCACCTCCCCCCTCCTGGACCCCCTGCAGTTCGCCTACAGAGCCAACAGATCTGTAGACGACGCCATTAACCTGGCCCTCCACCACATCCTACAGCACCTGGACTCCCCGGGGACCTACGCCAGGGTCCTGTTCGTGGACTTCAGCTCTGCCTTCAACACAATCCTGCCATCCCTGCTCCAGGACAAGCTCTCCCAGCTCAACGTGCCCGATTCCACCTGCAGGTGGATCACTGACTTCCTGACGGACAGGAAGCAGCGAGTGCGTCTGGGGAAGAATGTCTCGGACTCTCGGATTATAAATACAGGAGCCCCACAGGGCTGTGTTCTTTCTCCCCTGCTCTTCTCCCTGTACACCAACCACTGCACCTCCAGCCACGACTCCGTGAAGCTGATCAAGTTCGCGGACGACACCACCCTCATTGGACTCATCTCCAACAACGATGAGTCCGCCTACAGGAGGGAGGTGGACCGGCTGGTGTCCTGGTGCAGTGGTAACAACCTGGAGCTGAACGCCCAGAAGACAGTGGAGATGATTGTGGACTTCAGGAAGAGCACTGTCCCCCCGCCCCCACCCTCCGTGATGGACTCCCCCATCACCTCTGTGGAGTCCTTCCGTTTCCTGGGCACCACCATCACCCAGGACCTCAAGTGGGAGCCGACCATCAGCTCCCTCATCAAGAAGGCCCAGCAGAGGATGTACTTCCTGCGGCAGCTCAGGAAAGCCAAGCTGCCTGCACAGATGTTGGTGCAGTTCTACACGGCCATCATCGAGTCCATCCTCACCTCCTCCATCACCGTGTGGTTCGCTGGAGCCACAGTCAGGGACAAACAGAGACTACAGCGCATTGTGCGCTCTGCAGAGGAAGTGATCGGCCGCAGCCTTCCATCGCTGCAGGACCTGTACGTCGCCCGAGCTCGAGGCCGGGCTGGTCGTATCACAGCCGACCCCTCTCACCCTGCACATGGACTATTCCAACCACTCCCCTCAGGCAGGAGGCTGCGGTCCATCAGGACTAGAACCTCCCGCCACAAGAACAGTTTCTTCCCCTCTGCTGTTGGACTCTTGAACACTTCTTAACCTGTCCCCCCGCCCTTTATAAAGTCACTTTACTGCCCATCATACGTCACTTTACTTCACTGTACTGCTGTCACCTTACATTGTGTGCACCATGTGCACTTGTATATTGTAAATAGTAACTGTAACTCTATTTTAAATTTAAATTTATTCTTTAGAAGTGTTTTTTATTCTGATTTTTATTATCTCTTTTTGACTGTTGCACTGAGCCAAAGCAATTTCCAAGTCTGTGACCTCCCGTTACTTACGTTGGCAATAAAAATGATTCTGATTCTGATTCTGATTCTGATTGAAGCCGAGCTCTGTGCTCGCAAAAAGCCAGACGTCTGGTGGTCCCTAAGGTTTCAAAAAGCACTGTCGGTGGCAGAGCATTTAGCTCCAAGCTCCTTTACTGTGGAATCAGCTCCCCACCCACGTTAAGCAGACACGGTCTCTACGTTTAAGGCCAGGCTTAAAACACTCTTCTTCAACTTAGCATTTGGTCAGGTTTCGTCCGGGCTTGTTGTCTGCGTATGTGGGACCCGGTCCGCTGCATCTTCAACCCTACTCTCTAGGCCAGGCTAAAACAGTCCCCTTTAGTTTAGCATATGGCTAGGAAGGTAAGACTCAGTTAGTGTCCAACTAGAAGGATGTGATAATCCAGGACACTTTAACATTCTACAACATGTGTTCTATATTCTGTGTCTTAACTGTTGATTCTCTGATGATTTCAATGGTTTTGTTTAGTCTCTGAGATTATGCTGTTGTGATTTAGGGCGATACAAGAATAAATTGTATTGTATTGTGTTGTAAGTGTTTTGTGTGACCTTGGTTTGTAAAAAAGTGCTGTTTGAATAAATACTTACATAAATGGGAATGTGTTTAAAGCAATGAGCCAATGTCCGGTTATAAAAGGTGTTAACATAGATAATTGTGTGTCCGATCATCTTGATAGAGCCGGAGTTTGGTCAATGTCCACAAATATGACTGTATCAGGATGAGCCACGTTGCATAAGTGTTTGTTGTGGTAATTGATATCTGTTGATATCTAATCAACAGAATAATTCACAGAGAAATACTGGTACTAAAGCAGCGATGTCAAAGTCAAACACATCAGAGTTCAGAAACAAATGGCTACAAGTCGAAGGTCGGACTGGTTCAATGTTTATTAAAATGTATTGAAATGATGCATAAAACCTGCTGAAACCAGACCTAGCACAGTGGACCACCAATTAAGAATCTAATATTTTTGTGGCTCTTTCAGTCATTTCAAACGCTCACAGACAAAAAATAAACTTCCTTTAAAGAGAAAACACACAACATTAAATGAAAAATCCAGTATTTTCTCGGAGCGGCCGGTTCTAATACGGATTAAATATATTCCCGAGGCCCAAGGTCATTGATGAGCGGCCGGATCTAGCCCCCGGGCCTTGACTTTGACACTATTAGAAAAGATACCAGGCACAAACATGTTTTATCTGAAAACACGACAGAAGAAAAGAAAGATAATATCATCGAAGGACATTGTTTCATTTCTGTTTTGCTTTACCTTAAAGCCGGAGGTTTGTTGCACATTTACAACAAGAATCACAAACTGGCAACGCGGTGGCGCAGTGGTTACCGCTCACGCCTCTGTGCAAGTTTGCATGTTCTCCCCGTGTCTGCATAGGTTTCCTCTGGGTGCTCCGGGTGCACAACTCTGTACTCTAAATAATTACCAAAATAAAAGAAGAACATTTATATCTTTAGCTCAATAAAGAAGCAAGAAACATACTGCATCCTCTGGAGCAAGAGAGATTTACTTCATGTATGTGTTCAAGAATATCATGCGATAATATATAATAATATATAATTAGGGTGATAAGTTAGCAGCATTAGGGAATGGGCTAAAGGTGACAGTGGAAACATGTGGATCATAGACTGTAAACATTAATGATATTAAACTAATGTGAAATCACTGTCGCCGTCCACGGCCTCCTTAATTTAACGAGTGCCTTCAAAAGTCCTGTCATGGTTGTCATTTTTAGTTCCTGTTTTATTTTGTAAAGTGTCTTTTGAGTTATACTTCCTGTTCTGTTGATTGCCCCGCCCTGATTGCACCTGTGTTTCACAGTTAAATTCCCTCTGCTCTTTCCCGCGTGTTGTTTGTTTTGAGGTTCTTTTCTTCAGTTTTTTACATTCAGTTCAGTTTTGTTTTTTGGATTCTTATTTATTCAGTTATACTATTTAACAGAACAGAATTTCCGGTCTTTCCTCCTTTCCACCCAATTAATAATTCCACTGCATCTAAACATACCATAAAATATACTCTTCTCAACACTGACAGCATCTGGACCAAGAGCTAAGAAGACGCTGTATTCTTCTTCAGGGTCCACCCCCACCGGCCCGAGGGGTATTTCAAAAACAAAGTAAAAACAAAAAAATGTAAAATAAATATCATCTTCATATCAGTAGAAAAGTCTTCCTTCCGCCTGAGGCACAACAACAAACCACAATCTGCAACAATCCAACTTCTAAAAAATAGAATCCTGGGAGTGTGAGAGTAAAAGGCCCTTTTGTCCCGGTTTATGGTCTTTATGGGTTTATGGTCTTGGGGAAGACTGCGATCAAACTGTCAGGTGTGAAAGAAACATAATAATCAAACTTGTAGAAGTTCTAACTCTGTGCTTTGCATTTGAGCACGAGAGTCAGGCCAAAGGTTTCATGCTTCATCTGAAAGCAACAACTGAGAGACTTTAAGAGTTTTATTTAGATCGTTTTATTTAGGCAGAGTTGGAAAAGTCATGTTTTGTCCCTCTATGGTCTAAAATGTTCTAACAGGAGAATAAAGAAAGTTTCTCTGGTCCATGAGCGTCTCCCGTTTACCTCCCCCGTTTACCTGCCCCATCCTCCTCTCCTGAGCATCACGTAACGTTTTATAGTTTTGTTTTTCAAACTGGAGCTGATTTGTATAGATTGTCTTGTGCGGCTGACGGCCCACTTTATGGTGTGTTACTGTGTAAATGATTGTCTACATACTGTACAATGCTAATGTTATCTAGTCAAAGATGGCACTCCTCCTTTAAGCTAGAGTATAAAATACCCCGGACCTGCAGAACTTTGGGTCGGTCTCATTGGGAAGGTGCGTCACACGGTGCTGTCTCTAAGTTTAACAGAATATTTATAAACTTACTTTTGTTACAGTCGTTCTCTGAAGGTGAAGATGACAAAGATCACGCTTCTCGCAGGTAACGCACTATGGACTAAAGAATGAGTCTGATTTTAATTTAGTTTGGAATTCAGGCATTTACATTTGTTAATGATCACAATCAATCCTTTGTAAGAAATGTGTTTGAGCAGATTTGAAAGATTGTTCTTGAAATATGATCTCTGAGGCCAAACATTTTAATTAAATAAAATAAAATAATAGTAATTAACTGTCTGCATCTCTCTCTTTAGGCGCGTGCCTGATGCTCTGCCAACTCGGTAAGAGCATCTAAACACATTTATAAAAACCTGTGATTTGTCAGCTCTCTGACAGAATGTGTTTTTGTCGTGACAGGCTCGGCCATGCAGATGGTGTGCTATTTCACCAACTGGTCCCAGTACAGACCAGGTGAGGGGAAGTTCCTGCCTCAGAATGTGGATCCGTTCCTCTGCACGCACCTGATCTACGCCTTCTCCATCATCAACCACAACAACGAGCTGGTCACCTACGAGTGGAACGACGACGTGCTCTACAAGTCCTTCAACGGCCTCAAAACCAAGTCAGTCCACGCAAATAATCTGTACTTTATACTTCTTAAAAAAAAATATTACTTACATACTCTTTCAAGCCAAACATGAAGAGTCGCCGAGCTGTGAAACCTAAACATTTAAAGTTACACAATGACAACACTAAAATCACGACATTTGTCCAAAACATAATCTCACAAGTTTTTCATTCCACCTTTTAATGCTCTATCAGATAATTAGTGCAGCACGGAACATTTAAATGAGAAATAATCATCCATGTTTTAAATGAACCAAAGACTAAATGTTTTCTCTAAAACAGGAATCCACATCTGAAGACTCTGCTGGCGGTTGGCGGGTGGAACTTTGGCTCTGCTCAGTGAGTAAAAACATATAAGTCTTATTCGGCAACAAAAGTCAAAGTTTATAATTAATTAGCCTGGTCGTACCACACCATAGTACAAATTACAGAGTCTGGATTTGCTCCTTTGACTCCGTTAACAGGTGGGAGGGGTTAACTTCTTTTGCAGATTGAAACCATTGGATCAGAGTTTACCGTCACGTACAGTATGTAATGAACCCGAGTGAGTTGTTAGCATTTAGCCTAGCTTTAGCCATCTCCTTTGCCGCTAACAGAGCCCGTGGGGAGTAGCGCCACGATTTTTTTCTAGCGATTACATTTGCTAAACATTCCTCTTGCTCCGGCTTCAATTTCTTGATAGAACCAGACCGGAATACTTTACTTTCACATTCTTCACCATTGCCAAACTACGGCCTTCCCGTTCAACGCAAACTCTTGATGTCACCCACATCTAACTACAACACCCGCCTCCCGCGCTCTCTGATTGGTCGGTCGAAATTCAGCCGATTGTGTTTGCTAAAACGGGGACCAGACCCAGACGTTACATGCAGTGAAATGAAGATTGAGCGGAGTGTACGGATGGATAAGGCCAGGCTAATAAATAATGTAAAAGTCGACAAAGTTTAAGATCACCTTGTTTTAAAAAGAGCTGTTGTGCAAATAGTAATAACTGCCCCCCCCCCCTTCAGGTTCTCCATCATGGTCTCCACTCCCGCCAACCGTCAGAAGTTCATCCAGTCTTCCATCAAATTCCTGAGGACCCATGGCTTTGATGGTCTGGACCTGGACTGGGAGTACCCTGGAGCCCGAGGAAGTCCTCCAGAAGACAAGCACCGGTTCACTCTCCTCTGCAGGGTGAGCTCTGACTGATACTGGGCAGCGTTTCAGATTCATGCAGCTACAATCTGGAAAAATCCTAAAAAAAGGGAAAGAGGAACCGTTGTCCCTGTCTGTGATTTTTATGATTTTACATTAAAATAACAGACATTCATGGATGTACGGTTTACATTTGGCCAAAATAAAAGTCTTCACGTGCACGATTTGAGAAAACCTCACATTTATATCGCTCATTTACACTGGTTTAGCTGTGCATTCAACTGAAGTATTTTATATTTACTCTTTTTAATGAACTATGGCTATTAGAAGTTTTAATCCTGTGTGATTTTAATGTTTTTTGTTATAATTAGTTGTCTGTTTTTAATATAGATTTTAATGTCTATGATTTTGGCCTGATGTGACGTTGGTTGTGAGGCGCTTTGTGTTGCCTTGTCTTGAAAGGCGCTCTACAGATAAACGATTGATAATGATTTTGTTCTGATTATTTGCAGGAACTGGTTAAAGCCTACGCAGCAGAAGCCAAGTCCTCAGGCAAAGCTCAGCTCATGCTCACTGCTGCTGTGTCGGCCGGAAAGGGAACCATCGACGGAGGATATGAGATCGCTGAAATTGCTAAGTAAGAATAACTTGCATTTATACAGTATATTTTAGTCCATTTGTAATCATTAAATGTATTACTTTAGAGAGCTAGACTTCATCAATGTCATGACCTACGACTTCCACGGGACATGGGAGCAGTTTACCGGACACAACAGCCCTTTATACCGTGGTTCTGAAGACTCTGGAGACCTCATTTACTTTAACACCGTAAGAACTTTATATTTGAGTCTGTTTTACGCATAAATCATCTCTTATAATGTTGTTTATTATACTTTTGTAGGACTATGCCATGAAGTACTGGAGAGACAAAGGCACTCCAGTCGAGAAGCTGAGGATGGGATTTGCAGCGTATGGTCGTACTTTCCGCCTGACCTCCGCAGAAACCGGGGTCGGAGCTCCGGCAAATGGCCCCGCAGCTGCTGGACCTTTCACCCGTGAAGCTGGTTTCTGGTCTTACTATGAGGTGCACACACGGGCAGAGAACCCATGGTATTCCACTGGGGTTAGGGCACACAACACTCATTTTGTCTTGTCGTTTGTACTCCAGATCTGTAGCTTTGTAAAGGGCACAAACCTCCACTGGATTGAAGACCAAAAGGTTCCATACGCCACGAAAAACAATGAATGGGTGGGATTTGACACCAAGGAGAGCTACGAGATCAAGGTTTGAGAATATTTGTGCTTTTTTAAATGTATTTTGGAATCTAGTCTGATCAGAGCACTCATATTTGTGTTTCTGTTCAGGTGCGTTACTTGCAGGAGCAGAAGTTCGGAGGTGCGTTCGTGTGGGCGTTGGATCTGGACGACTTTGCAGGACGTTTCTGCGGCGAGGGCAGTCACCCGCTGTTGTCTCACCTCCGCAAACTGCTTGACATCGGTAAGACAAGGAAAAACCACAAAGTAATAAGGTCTGGATACATGGTCTGACCTCCATTCATGAGACTTCTTCAATGACAGATTTGGTATTCGATAATTCACTACGGAAAAAGGCCACAACAAGAATTGAAAAGCATGTCTAATGAACAAACCAATGCATTTCAGAAGGCTGTGTTCATTCTTGTTGATCTGGTTTGCTTTATATGGACCAATTCTGGTTTGCTTGGTGCAGACATGTTTTTATTTTTATTTTTTGTGGGTGTATAATGGCCAAGAAAGTAAACTTGTGTTCCCTCATCGCCTGGAAAACCAATCTGTGAAGCATTTTACCCCATGTCAAGCAGATAGATTTTACTTTATTGATCCCTGTTGGAGAAATGCAGCAAAAACATGGTAGAAAATTCTAAAAGTAGCAAACAATATTAATTATAAGCAGAGGTGGAGTAGCCGCTTGGTTCGGAGCCTTTTCTCTGCTCTGGTCCAAAGTAAAATGTTAAAGGCTTTGTTAGAATTTTTCAAAAAGCATTCTTCCAGTGGATTTTCTGCTGATCCACTTGATTTGAACCATGAATCCTCTCTGCTCTGGTCTGGACCAGTGTAAAACCATGAATCCTCTCTGCTCTGGTCTGGACCAGTGTAAAACCATGAATCCTCTCTGCTCTGGTCTGGACCAGTGTAAAACCATGAACACTGTACTGCCGAAACATCTCAGGCAGAAAAAAGCAATAAAAATAACACTTATAAAACACAAACACACTCAGTACGTGCTGCCGTTTCCAGGACATTCAAAAGGTCCAGTTAAAGTTTCAGTCCAGTTTTTTTCCACAAAAAATGAAAATTGCAAAAGTAGTACCACTCTTCAAAAATAATAATAAACACAGTTACACAAACTATAGACCAATCTCTTTATTGCCTCAATTTTCAAAAATTCTTGAAAAGCTTTTTAACTCTCGGCTTGAAAAGTTTCTTGAGAAACACCAGATAATACATGAAGGTCAATATGGTTTCAGAGCCAAAAGAACCACATCAATGGCAATAATGGAAGCAATTGAGGAAATCACAAATGCATTTGATCATAAAAAGTTTGCAGTGGGTATCTTTATAGATCTCAAAAAAGCCTTTGATACTATTAATCACTCGATTCTACTCAGAAAGATGGGGAATTATGGAATTCGTGGGGTAGCTGGGGATTGGCTGAAAAGTTACTTGACCGGAAGGATACAGTATTTTAAAATGGGGCATTACATATCTGGAGAACTTGGCATTGCTTGTGGTGTGCCCCAGGGGTCCGTGCTAGGACCCAAATTATTTAATGTGTATATAAATGACATTTTTTATGTATCTCGAGTATTAAAACTTATTCTTTTTGCAGATGACACAAATATATTTTACTGTAGCAATGATTACGATGAAATGGTGAATACTGTGAACAAGGAACTGAATATAATTAAAAAGTGGATGGACATGAACAAACTATCCCTCAATATAGAAAAAACGAAATCAATGATGTTTGGCAGCCTAAGATTTAATTCAGACACAAAAATCTTTATCGACGGTATCGAAATTGAAAATGTGAATGAAAATAAATTCTTGGGAATTATAATCGACAATAAATTGTCCTGGAAACCTCACGTCAGATACATAAAAACTAAAATCTCCAAAAGCCTTTCAATTCTAAATAAAAGTAAAACTGTACCTCGGTCTCAATTTACTCCGTACATTATACTGTACGTTGGTTCTCCCATACTTTAACTATTGTGTTGAAGTGTGGGGAAACACGTACCAGAACACTATAAACCCATTAGTCTTGTTGCAGAAACGAGCAGTGCGTATAATTCACAAAGTTGGGTTTCTAGATCACACTCATGAATTGTTTATCCAGTCTAAGTTACTAAAATTTAATGATCTTGTAAAATACAATACAACTATAATCCTATATAAAGCTTTTAACAAATCATTACCTATTAATCTACAACACCTTTTCTCAATTCGGGAAAAAGCCCATAATCTAAGAGGATTTGGAGACTTCACACTACCTAAAATTCGAACTACTCGTAAAAGCTTTTGTATATCTGTACGAGGTGTGAAACTATGGAACAGTCTGGATGCACACCACAAGCAATGCCAAAATATTCACAGATTCAAACTTTTATACAAACATCTGGTCTCAATATATAGAGAGTGGGTCTTAATTGTTCTGTACTTCTGTATTGTGTTTGTGTCATGTATTTGTCATTCCTTACCATTGCTGGTTTTGTCTCTTACCATTGCTGGTATTGTCGCTTACCATTGCTGGTATTGTCCCTTACGATTGCTTGTATTGTCTCTTACCATTGCTGGTATTGTCTGTTACCATTGCTGGTATTGTCTCTAACCATTGCTGGTATTGTCTGTTACCATTGCTGGTATTGTCTCTAACCATTGCTGGTATTGTCTCTAACCATTGCTTGTATTGTCTCTTACCATTGTTAGTCCTGTATTACTGTTGTCATATGTAACTCTGATGCGTTACTATGGTAACTCCACAATGTGAATACTCAAACTTTTCTGTGTTAATATAGTGCAGAAGTCGAAAGTTGTTGATAGCCCTGTCTCGCAAAGAAGCACATTTTTGTTGTATACATATTATGGGGGTAGGATTAAATAAGTTTTCTTCTTCCTACTCCCTTTCAGGCAAATATTTTGGTTTATTTTTTTATTTTATTTTTATGCATGTTAGCAATGCTTTACTTATTTTTATTTTTTGTTGGAAACTATGATGAACAAGAGGTGACTGCTGCCTCATGTGAAATGCCTGAAATGAATAAATAAACAAACAAACAAACAAAGTGAACCAGACCAGTGTGAATGCAGCCGAACTATACCATGAACAACAAGGATGACATGGTTGTACTGAGCTATATTTTAATGTTTTTGTCTTTCCACAGAGCTGCCCCCACTGCCCCCCACGACCACCCGTGACCCCAGTGTTACCACCCTCACTACAACCACCACCACCACTCACGCCCCGGGGCCCGGCTTCTGCAACGGAAAACCCGACGGTCTGTACCCAAACCCCGACGACAAGGCCAGCTTCTACTCCTGCGCTGGAGGCAGGACTTACCTCCGCCACTGTGCGACCGGGACCGTCTTTGACAGCGCCTGCAAGTGTTGTGTCTGGGCGTGAACACTCCACAGCAGCCACATTAGTAATAGATTTATAGATAGATACTTTATTGATCCCCGTAGGAGACATTTCGGTGTCCATTCTATCATTGTGAAAAGCTAACAATAGTAGTAATAAGCAACAGGCCTTCAGGACACAGCAGCAGAGGTGGAGTGTATATATATATATGTGCTGTAGGTAAAGAAAACTATATTTTTGATAAAAAGTAATGTTTGTCAATCATGTTGTATGTACAAACTAAGAAATGTGTTACCATTTATTAAACATTTACCCAAGGATCTTTTGGTCTTCTTCTGTTCAGCATTTGTAGATTTGTGGGAGGGTCTACTCTAAACAAAAGTGGAATAAATGATAATACAGTGGTTTAATACAGCGCTTTTTTTGGACACTCAGAAAGACATGTAAAGCGTCTTTTTCACACCATACACTACTACTGTAGCCACAGCTGCCCTGGGGCACACTGACAGAAGCGAGGCAACCATTCTGTGCCGACCATTCACACACACCAGACTCATTCTAATGTGGGTGAAGTGTCTTGCCAAATCACACACCAGCAGTTTGGCCCTTTACAGCCGCCCCACTGTGGCATCAGGTGTTGACAGAGGTTAAGTGTCTTGCCCAAGGACACAATGACAGCAGAAGTCAGGCTTGAACTCACAACCTTCTGGCTCAAGGGCCAATGCTCTACCAACTGAGCTACTGTTGGATAAATATATACTGTATATAGCAGTGGATATTTTCTTTTAAGTTACTATGTCCTAGCGTCAAAAAGGAAAATGGACCGGATCAGTCAAGTAAAATTATGGTCAGATTGATAAGAGAAAAAACAGAAACAATTCAAAAGAGGTAGAACAGAAAAGGTTTTCATGGTCTTTAGAATGTGAGCATTTGTGAAACTGGATTTAATGTTTGCTTTTAAACTAATAAAACGCAAATCAATGCTGAAAAAAAAAGTAATTAAAGAGGAAAGCATATGAGGTTAAAAAGAACGACTAACAATTAATAATGAAAACTTTGGCCTCATAAAGATGGACACAGTGAAAATGTGATACGGTTTTTGAAAATGGGAAAAATAAAAACTTTTGTGGCCGGAAGATTGTGTATCAGGTAAACAAAACTCTCCACGCCCAAAACTGTGAGGTGTTTTATTCCAAGTAAAGAAGCAGAGATTGGCTTGATATATCATTTCACACTTGCACTTTTGGCCCCAGTTCAGAATCTGGAAAATGCACCTGGATTATCTAAAATATCAAACATTAAAGATAAAATTAATATTACTTATTTACTCTTTCTGCTCATAAATCATGACAATAATCTCATGTGTCACAACAAGTTTTAGTAATCTTGTCAAATCAAGCCACGGCGATCCAAGATGGCGCCGTGTTCAAATGAATGGTTGTGCTCAGTGGCGCTTTGTAACGGCACGGGCGCTGACATATGGAACTCTCAAAGATCCACGGGAACTCACCTGTATTTGGGCATCGTCTGGTCCTCCCGGTTCTGCACAGTGGATGATCTCCCATGATGCTTTGCGCCAAATACACGTGTGTGGGTCTCACGCACGTGCACAGAGGGGCTCGGCCGCGCTCTGACCAATCAGAGCAGTTCATCAGAGCGGGAGTTGGAGCGAGAGCCAGACGAGCAGAGTTTGTGGCAGTAAAGTGTGGATTTGAACAAAACCGAAGGATTTAAGAAGAAAAAAAGTTCAAGACGACAAGGGACACTAAAATCCCCACAAAATCTGACCTTTATGAAAGCTGCAGGTTCTCTGTCAGGTTCTCTGTCAGCTGAGGTCGAGCTGTTTTAGTTTACATTGAGTTCTATGGGACTTTTTTCTGGGTAGCCCACGTGAATTTAGTCTGCAGTACTGCGACAATCCCCCGAGCATGTGAACCTATCTACCTACCAATCTATCTACCAATCTATCTACCAATCTATCTACCAACCTATCTACCAACCTATCTACCTACCAATCTACCTACCTATCTACCTACCAATCTATCTACCAATCTATCTACCAATCTATCTACCAACCTATCTACCTATCTACCAACCTATCTATCTACCTATCTACCAACCTATCTACCAACCTATCTATCTACCTACTGTATCTATCTACCTATCTACCAACCTATCTACCAACCAATCTATCTACCAATCTATCTACCAATCTATCTACCAACCTATCTACCTACTTATCTACCTACCAATCTATCTACCTATCTATCTACCTACCAATCTATCTACCTACCAATCTATCTACCAACCTATCTACCAATCTATCTACCAACCTATCTACCAACCTATCTACCTACCAATCTATCTACCAACATATCTACCTATCTATCTACCTATCTACCTACCAATCTATCTACCTACCAATCTATCTACCAACCTATCTACCAACCTATCTACCAATCTATCTACCTATCTACCTATCTATCTATCTACCAATCTATCTACCTACCAATCTATCTACCAATCTATCTACCTACCAATCTATCTACCTACCAATCTATCTACCAATCTATCTACCTACCAATCTATCTACCAACCTATCTACCAATCTATCTACCTATCTACCTGCCAATCTATCTACCAATCTATCTACCAACCTATCTACCTATCTACCAACCTATCTACCTACCAATCTATCTACCTATCTACCTACCAATCTATCTACCAATCTATCTACCTACCAATCTACCTACCTATCTATCTACCTACCTATCTATCTACCTACCGACCTACCAACCTATCTACCTAGACTAACCTTCTGATTGGTTTGGCAGAAGTAGGCTCTTGTACCAACACGGATAACTTTAGGCCTAAACAAAGACATTGATCTTGATACAGGATTGTGATCCCGACTCCCGCTTCAGGACAGGTGTCACGGCCTGAATGGAGCGCGTCAGTGTGTGTAAGCTGAGCTGCGTTATACCTGAACACTTTGGATCAATCTCAGTTTCTCTCAAACGCCACAATGGCCGGCTGCTGGCCTCTGCTCGCCGCACTGCTGCTCGCCCACTCCAGTAAGATTTGGTTTATCACCGGGTACCTCAGTCTAGACCCAGAATGATTATGTTTTCTCTTCTGCAGCGACCACATTCAAACTGGTGTGCCACTTTGCAAACTGGTCCCAGTACAGAACACGTCTGGGCAAATTCACGGTGGAGAAGATTGACCCTTTCCTCTGCAGCCATGTGGTGTATGACTTTGCCGTGATTGACCGTGACAACAAGCTCACGGTAAATGAGGAGAGTTTCCATGGGGCACTCACTGGACTTAAAATCAGGTATGGAAAATGATTTGTGTTTAGACATTTGAACAGTATAAATAATCGGGCGGCACGGTGGCTGAGTGGATAGCACTCTCGCCTCTCAGCAAGAAGGTCCTGGGTTCGAATCCCGCTCGGACCAGGGCCTTTCTGAGTGGAGTTTGCATGTTCTCCCTGTGTCTGCGTAGGTTTCCTCCGGGTACTCCGGTTTCCCCTACCACTAAAAATATGTCCAATAGTTCTGGCATGCGCTTCCTGTACTGGCCCCGCTCCCATCTCTGTGTGGAGTGAGAGACAAATGCCCAAAATAAAAAAAACAATTGTAAACCGCTTTGAGACTCAGATCTGCAGTGAAAAGGCGGTATATAAATAAAGATTACTTATATATAATAATGTTGTGTATGTATTTTAGTGTCTGTCCATAAACCTATATCACTGCCATGTGTAGTAATGTAATTAATGAAGTAATTAATTATGCTTATGGTACAGACAGATGATCATAATGAGCTGATGTGTTATTGTGTTTTTTCTATGCTATGTTGTGTCTTGTTCATTGTTTATTAATTTGCATCTGTTCAAAAACATGCAAGACATTCAACTATAGAAGAGCTGGTCAATTGCCTAAAAAAAATAAAAATAAAAATATTGACAGAGAGCAGACTGAGAACATGATGCTCAAAAGGAGTAGGAGGCAATTAACTAAAACTCTTTCAAATATTGCACACACATGGATAATGTTTTCAGATAATTTTAGTTCAAAACTGAGAATATTCCATAATTTAACGCCACAACTTGAAATACAAAATCTCTTTCTTACTGTGCGTCATCGCCTCATTTTAAAATTTTGTTGTCATCTGAAGTTATAGACACCTTCTCTTACTTTAAACACTGTAACAGTTGAGGTCATGATTTATTACTAGCTTTGAAAAGAGTTTGTGCAGTTTTTAACGACACAAGATCGTCTGATTTGAGGTTCTTTAAGTATTTTCATAAAACTGGCTCAATATTGGGTTTTGTTTTTTGCATGACGTTTGAAATAAATTCTTTCTACTACTTTATGTTGATATTATTGTTAGGCAGATAACTCCTGGCTATCAAAAACATACTGATAGTTTTGTTTAATTATATATTTTTCCCTCAGAAATCCAAACCTTAAAACACTGCTGTCGGTGCGAGAGCTGAGCACCGATGAACCACGGTAAGAGCACACCGCCCTCTGCTGGCCACAGCAAACTATTCATCTTCATTTATGACATTTTTGAAACTGGATGTGTAACACAAGCATTTATATTACATGTGTGTATCTGTAAAAAGCTAACAATAGTAACAATTGCAACAATAGTAATAATAGTAGTAATAAAACACACAGTACAGTCATCAGAGATCTTAGAAAAGTGCTTGAGACAAATCAAAAACCTCCATCCATCCATTTTCTTCCGGCTCATCCGTTGCTCGGTCAACAGTCTAAGCAGAGACGCCCAGACTTCCCTATCCACACACACCTCCTCCAGCTCGTCCGGGGGGACCCCAAGGCGTTCCCAGGCCAGCTGAGAGACATAGTCTCTCCAGCGTGTCCTGGGTCTTCCCCGGGGCCTCCTCCCGGTGGGACGTGCCCGGAACACCTCCCCAGGGAGGCGTCCAGGAGGCATCCTGAACAGATGCCCGAGCCACCTCAACTTGTTCCTCTCGACGTGGAGAAGCAGCGGCTCTACTCCGAGCTCCTCACGTATGACTGAGCTCCTCACCTTATCTCTAAGGGAGCAGCCACTCTGCGGAGGAAGCTCATTTCGACCGCTTGTATCCGCGATCTCGTTCTTTCGGTCATTACCCAAAGCTCATGACCATAGGTGAGGGAGGGAACGAAGATTGACCGATAAATCGAGAGCTTTGCCTTTCGGCTCAGCTCCCTCTTTACCACAACGGTCCAATACAGCTCTGACTGCAGACGCTGCTCCCTCTTTACCACAACGGTCCGATACAGCTCTGACTGCAGACGCTGCTCCCTCTTTACCACAACGGTCTGATACAGCAACCGCATCACTGCGCACGCTGCACCGATCCGCCTGTCAATCTCACACTCACTCATGAACAAGACCCCGAAATGAACTCCTCCACTTGAGAAAGGACCTCTCCACCCACCTGTAGAGGGCAAGGCACCTTTTTCCGGTCAATCACCATGGCCTCGGATTTGGTGCTGATTCTCATCCCAGCCGCTTCACACTCGGCTGCAAACCGTCCCAGTGCATGTTGCAGGTCCTGGTTCGTTGGAGCCAACAGGACAACATCGTCCTGTTGGCTCCAAAAAGTAGAGATGAAATCCTGTGGTCCCTGAACCGGACCCCCTCCGGCCTCTGGCTGCGCCTAGAAATTCTGTGCATAAACACAGTGAACAGAACTGGTGACAAAGGGCAGCCCTGGTGGAGGTCAACATGCACCGGGAACAGGTCTGACTTACTGCCGGCAATGCGGACGCAACTCTGGCTCCGGTCATACAGGGATCGAACGGCCCTCAACAGAGGACCCCGAAACCCGTACTCCCAGAGAACACGGTTGAACGTCTTCTCCAAATCCACAAAGCACAGAGTATGGAGCTGGTCCAGTGTTCCGGGACGAAAACATTAAAAACGTGACTGTTGTTTTCAGGTTTCCCAGTATGGTATCCGCGGCCGCCTCTCGACACGTGTTTGCTCAGTCGTCAGTTTCTTTCCTGAGGACTCATGAGTTTGATGGTCTGGAACTGGACTGGGACCATCCTGGAAACAATAAATACAAGTTCACTCAGCTCTGTAAGGTGCTATCTCCACTTCACACATTCACATTTAAGTAGTTTCAAAACAGACACCACCAGGAGTCAAGAGAACTCAGACGTTATAATAACACATGCTGGACAATTTACATAATTCCACTGATTCAGAGACAACCTTTTGAATTCCAAATGATTGCATTATAATTAGGCTAATCAGATATTTGGGATAATAAGACCAACAGGTTATTTCTTAAAAGGTGTATAGAACAAATTATTTAACAATCTCCCTGGTCTTATTGGACGAGCTCATATCACCGTCTTGATGATCCGCCCAGAAGTAGAAAATCCTCCCATACAGTACCTCCAGTTGTAAATTTCTCCTTTGTGAGATCAATAAAGTATATGTTATCTTAACTTTAACATGGGAAATAATCTGTATGACTAAATGCTTACAGGGTCTTCTCCAGGCGTTTGAGAATGAAAGCATTGGAACAGGGAGGACCAGACTGACCTTGTCTGCTTCTCTGACGCCGCAGAAAGATGTGATGACATTTGACCATTACGAAGTCACGGAGCTGTCAAAGTAAGACCGCTCACAAAGAAATGTTTTAGAATAGCAATATGTAAAACCATCAAAGGGCCCTAATCTGTCATCAATTAAAGGGCCCTAATCTGTCAAAAGCAAGCCCCGGTGATCCAAGATGCCGCCCTATTCAAATGAATGGCTTGTGCTCAGTAGCGCATGGGACTTCATGGAGACCGGGAGATTAGCAGAACTCGCCTGTATTTGGGCATCGTCTGGTCCTCCCGGTTCTGCAAAGTGAACGAGCTCCCATGATGCGTTGCGCCAAACGTGCGTGTGTGGCTCTCATGCACGTGCACAGAGGGGCTCGGCCGCGCTCTGACCAATCAGAGCTGCTGATCAGTGCAGCGGAAGAGCGGCGCCAGAGCGGGAAGGAAAGGAGCAGAGTTTGTGGCAGTAAAGTGTAAAGAAAACCGAAGGATTTAAGAAGAAAAAAAGTTCAGGACTAAAATCCCCACAAAATCCGATCTTTATGTTCTCTGTCAGGTTCTCTGTCAGCTGAGGTTGTGCTGTTTTAGTTTACATTGAGTTCTATGGGACTTTTTTCTGTCTTTAGTCTGCAGTACCACTGCGCCCCCTGTGCCCGTAGGTGGGACAGCTGAAAGCTACCCTATCCAGTTATTATTATAGATCCATGGTCAAAAGGCATTAATGAAACCTGTGTCTTTTCCAATACAGTAGTTCAGAGATATTTTAATTTCTAAATGACTTTTCCAGCCTCTAAATCTTGTTATTGTTTTCATTTCAATGTCCCGCCCTCCACCGTTTCACCAATCAGAAAGTCTGTGATCTGGGCGCCAGAACTCACCGCGTGGAGCTAATCTCACTGGTAAAGTACCATGTGGCGCAGAACTAAAAAAGGTCTCGTTATGATTCTCAAATCATTAACGACAAAACAAGGAATAAAACCAGGATTTCTATCTTTGTGAAAAAGGTGTTGGTTATAGATTTGTTGTTGACAAAACTCTTGTCTATTCAGCTGTTATGGTCCCAGCTGGATTCGTCTGCATATCTGGCAACCTGAGTCAGGGAGAGTGGGAGAGGCTGCAGTACCACTTTTGGCCACATTTTTACAAACTGCTCCTTTAATTTGCACTCATGTACAGTACACTCTTTTTAGCTTTGACACAGCTTGAATGACAGAACACACAATTAAACACAATTAACAACATAACAACAACAGAATTAAATGTTTTTTCAGAATTCTGGACTTTCTCAGTGTGAAAACCTTTGACCTCAGTCGTGGTGATGTCGCTGCCCACCACAGTCCTCTCTTCAGTACCAACAATGCCAGTATGGTAATGGCTTCTTCTTGTTTTGCTCACATAAACGTTGTTAGCCTAGCATAGCTTCAGTCTGTCTGTTTTCAGGATTTCATCACGCAGTATTTTCTGGACCAAAAGACTCCCGCAGAGAAGTTGTTGGTTGGATTCCCTACTCATACACGTTCATACGCACTCTCCACTGAAATGTCAAGTCCCGGAGCTCCAGTGAGCGGACCAGCAAACCCCGGACCATACACACAAGAGATGGGCTTCTGGTCCCACTATGAGGTAAAATACACACAGGATAGTAATTTATTCAGACTTTATTAAGGACTCACATGCAAGCACAGGATCCATAGCTAAGAATAATGAAAGAAAAGTAAAAAAATAAATAAACAGTGTTAAAATACTGTCACAATTACATGAAAATAACGTAATACTCATTCTGCACAATATTAATAATTATTGCACAGAGACTACAATCAAACAGTAAAGTGAAGTCTATGTTCTTTTTTGTGGTCGTACCTGCATGTGAAAGCCAGATCCTGTCAGATTTTTGAAGCTGTGCAGGGAATGGCCTGGTTAGTACTGTGATGGGAGACCTCTGGGAACAGCAGGAACCACAGTGGAGCGGCTGTGGCTGTAAAGTGGTTGCAAAACTGTGGTTGTGTCCTTAGGCAAGACACTTCCCCCACATTAGAATGAGTCTGGTGTGTGTGTGAACGGTTGGTGGTGGTGGGAGGGGCTGATGGCACAGACTGGTTGATGTGGAGTTTTGTGTAAGCCCTCAGTCGTACAGGGATTAGTCAAAGCAAAGGAAGGTTTCTCAGCCATGTGGAGTGTCCTGAAAAGCGCTGTATAAAACCAATGCGTTATTATTTGTTGATTTGTTATGAGGTCAAACCATTAAAACTGCTGTGTTTGTTCCAGACATGTACCTTCTTACAGGGGGCAGCAGGAAACTGGATAGACAGTCAATATGTGCCGTATGCTGTCAATTACAACCTGTGGGTGGGCTTTGATAACCAGGAGAGCTATAGTGCAAAGGTAAGACACAAGTAAACAATATTAAAAAACCTAATTCTGGGTAAAACATACGAGTTTGTTGAAGGTGTCATACCTGAGGAACCAGAACCTGGGAGGGGCCGCCGTGTGGAGCATGGACTTGGACGACTTCGATGGACTCTTCTGCGGTAAAGGAAACTACCCGCTCATATCTCAGCTGAAGGCAGAGCTGAGTAAAGGTGCGAATGCCCAGTACACTGCAAAAAATGATAGAAAATGAGTCAATAATTGCTTGAATCAAGTGGTTTTTATCCGAGTTCTGTCTGACTGTCAGATTCAGATCAGATTCATTTTATTAGCAATGTGCAGTATACAAACTACATTGGAATACATTTGCAAAGAAAGGTACTCTGTGTGCACCGACAGAATAAAGAACACGATATAATGAATATAAAATACACATACACTGAATATAAAAGAATAAAAAAAACAGCTGACACTGTGGCACCGATCAACAAAACGATACAAGGGGTAAAAGCAGGAATTAAAGTGCTCTGTTTAGGCACCTAACAGCCTGTGGAAAGAAGCTGTTAGCATAGCGAGATGTCTTGCATCTCAGCGACCGATATCTTCTGCCAGAGGGAAGAAGCTGGAACTGTGTTAATGGGACAAAGCCGTTTAGCCTAATTTCAAGAACTTTTTTTCTCATTCCAAAAGAGACACTTCTTGTATTTTTTGAAAACAAGATAATTTTGCTTTCTCTTTTTTTTCTTTGCAAATCTTGTTTTAAGGCTCAGTCAGAATGTGTTCAAATTAAGACACATTTTGCCAAATTTTAAGCAATTTTGTTCTTATTTGTTATCACTTTTTTGCTGTGTAGGAATTCCTTCAAGTTGCAGCAAAAAATCCAATTAATCTTTTGATGTTTTTTTGGTGCAAAATTAGATATTTCAGCTACAAATAAAACTCTGCACCAGAACACGACGGCCATCCCCCACAGCCAGGCCACAGACGGCACCATCGGGACAAACACCAGTTGCGTTAACGGCATCACGGTGGTTCATCCGGACTCGTCTCTGTGTTTGGAGAAGACGGACGGGCGATACCAAACCACAGCGGCGCCTCCTCTCGCTTATGTCTGTGTTCAGGGGATGGCATATGTAACGGAGTGTCCCACGGTGCACAGCCGGGCCTCCGCACCACCGGGGGCGCTCCTGGTCAACCTTCTCCTCGCCAAGTTGCTCCACAGCTGTTGTGTGTATAGGTGATTCTACCAGAGTGTGACTAAAGGACTTATTGGGATATCATGCACAAATATAAATAACATGTGTGTAATGCTTTTCTCTGGAGATATTTGTTGATTTAGTTTGTACAGTGCAAATGCAGATTATGATGTGTTGCTCAGAGATTATAGGGGAGAGTATGACAGTAGAATTCTTAGTTATATGATGATTTTAATGATTATTTAATGCATTGTATTTAAGGAGCAGTGTGTAAAAATGTGGCCAAAAGTGGTACTGCAGCCTCTCCCACTCTCCCTGACTCAGGTTGCCAGATATGCAGACGAATCCAGCTGGGACCATAACAGCTGAATAGACAAGAGTTTTGTCAACAACAAATCTATAACCAACACCTTTTTCACAAATATAGAAATCCTGGTTTTATTCCTTGTTTTGTCGTTAATGATTTGAGAATCATAACGAGACCTTTTTTAGTTCTGCGCCACATGGTACTTTACCAGTGAGATTAGCTCCACATGGTACTTTACCAGTGAGATTAGCTCCATGCGGTGAGTTCTGGCGCCCGGATCACAGACTTTCTGATTGGTGAAACGGTGGAGGGCGGGACATCGAAATGAAAACAATAACAAGATAGAGGGGCTGTACTACTGAACTACTATTAGGGTTAACGCCTTTTGACAGATTAGGGCCCTTTAATGATGACAGATTAGGGCCCTTTAATGATGACAGATTAGGGCCCTTTAATGATGACTTGACATGAAAATCTTACATATTGCTGCTATAATGGATGCTCAAATGTCACTAAGTTTGGGTTGTGAAGTGACTTTGCTGAAGTGCAATTTATGGGTTGTCAGTGTGTAGCGAGACTGGAATCTTTTTAAGGATAAAATGTTTGAGTCGTGTCAACAAAAACTAATGGTTTAGACCAAAGGGAATCTTTGATGTGTCCATAATGTAATTGTGTTTTGGTAATAAAAACGTTGTCATTTTGAGACAGAAAGCAGCAGTCTCGCATTGGTAGAAGCTTTGCCCTGACGCTGCCAAACTTAAAACTAAAGTAAAAATCTAACTCTAACTGTCTGATTTTGTCCTGGTTCTGTCGTTTACAATACAATACAATACAATTTATTCTTGTATAGCCCTAGGTCACAACAGAAGTCATCTCAGAGGACTTAACAAAACCATTGAAATCACCAACACAGGTCAGAGAATCAACAGTTAAAACACATGAAGAATATATAAAGCACACACAGAAGAAAATGTCCATACATGTTGTAGAATGCTAAAGTGTCCTGATCATCACCAATCCTTTCTGTTGGACACTAACTGTCCAACAAGACCCTCCTGCATCGACAAGGAAAAACTCTTAAAAAACCCAGTGGGAAAAAGTGAGAAACCTTGGGGAGCACTAGGGAAACCCACAGGGAGGGAGACCCATATGAGAAAAGGATCCGCTCCTCCGGACGGACAGGCTAATGATCCAGGACCTAAGCTAGCTACAGAACGTGGACCAGTGGACGCTGAACGTGGACAGGTCCGGTGCAGGACTGAAGCACTCCCAGGCGGGTCGGGCGGGGCAGTCCGCAGGTGTAGATGGAAGAGGCCAGGCTCAGAGATCCCGTCATCGTACCATGAAACAGACAATGGGACAACGGGTGAATAGCAATGAACAAACTACAGTCAGAATCCTAAAAATGCTAAACAGATAAAGTAGGAAGGAGGAGAGGATAGTGCTCAAGTTACCATAACTTCTCCCAGCAAACTGACTCCCTATGCAGCTTGACTAACACTCTGAGGAGTTTAACCTTCTCCGAGTCTTACCTTCCTAGCCATATGCTAAACTAAAGAGGACTGTTTTAAACCTAGCCTTGAATAAAGAATAACATACAGCATAATATATAACATAATATACAACATAACACAATACATTATTGAATAATATATAACATAATATATAACATAATACAGCATATATATATAATATATACACTACATATTATATATTACCTAATTATATGCTAAATTAAAGTAAAGTGCTTTAAGCCTGGCCTTGAATGTGGAGACCGTATCTGCTTCCTTAACATAAATGAAGCTGATTCCACAGTAAAGGAGCTTGGTAGCTAAATGCTCTGCCACCAACAGTGACCTTTGAGACCTTAGGGACCACCAGACGTCTGGCGTTTTGTGAGCGCAACGCTCGACCTGGTTGATACGACACTAACGTGTCTTGGAGATAAGAGGGAGCCAAGCCATTTATGGCTTTATATGTTAAGAGTAGGATTTTAAACTTTATTCTGTACTCCACAGGGAGCCAGTGGAGTGATTTTAACACCGGAGTTATGTGCTCCCTCCTTTTGGTACCTGTTAAGATCCTAGCTGCTGTATTCTGAACGAGCTGGAAGCTCTTCAAAGAGGCTTTAGGGCACGCTGCCAGTAAAGCGTTACAGTAGTCGAGCCTTGAGGTGACAAACGCGTGAATGAGTTTTTCCGCGTCACTTTTAGGAAGGAAATTCCTAATTTTAGCGATGTTCCGTAAGTGGAAGTACGCCGTTTTAGTTGCTTGGCTTATATAAGCCTTGAAGGAGAGCTCTTGGTCAAAAATGACTCCAAGATTCCTCACAGTGTTACTGGGTATTATACTGACATTATCGAGAGTAACCATCTGGTTAGTGAGGGAGTCACGCAGGCGCTTCGGACCGAGTAGGATCACTTCTGTCTTCTCCGGGTTGAGAAGTAGGAAGTTAAGAGTCATCCACATTTTAAGGTCCTTTATGCAGGCACTGAGCTTTTCTAGCTGATCTGTCTGATTAGGCTTCATCGACAGATAAAGCTGTGTGTCATCTGCAGCAGTGGAAATTAATTCCATGCTTTTTAATAATGTTTCCCAGTGGCAGCATGTAGAGAGTAAAAAGAATCGGTCCGAGTACCGAACCCTGCGGCACACCGTTTCAACCAGTTTTAACAGAATCCTTCAGCTCACACAATTATTTTTGATTATTCTTCCTATTAATCAATTTGATGTTTAGATCCTGAAAGATAAGAGAACAAGGGATTTTTGTTTTATACCAGGAAAACATCTTCATAAAGAGGACTTGTTGCACATTGTTTAATTTAAAGCACTTTGTAAAGATATTTTCAGTCATTCTGCTGTAGTCATAAAACTCGTTCACTTTGATCAAACACAATTCTGAAAACTTATGAATGCTTACCTTTTATTTACTATAACATCCAACATTTCATCAGCATTTAGATTATTGTAAGATTGTTTTGTATTTGTCAGTTACATGGCTCAATCTATCAAATGTTAGAAATCACTTTTCGTTCAAGAAATGCAAGATTACTATATAATCCCCATTGCTTTAACACACACAACAGACCCCAAAGTACCCACACAACAGTACATTCACACACAAGGACATACACCAGAGACACACACAACAGACCCCAAAGTACCCAGACAACAGTACATTCACACACAAGGACATACACCAGAGACACACACAACAGACCCCAAAGTACCCACACAACAGTACATTCACACACAAGGACATACACCAGAGACACACACAACAGACCCCAAAGTACCCACACAACAGTACATTCACACACAAGGACATACACCAGAGACACACACAACAGACCCCAAAGTACCCACACAACAGTACATTCACACACAAGGACATACACCAGAGACACACACAACAGACCCCAAAGTACCCACACAACAGTACATTCACACACAAGGACATACACCAGAGACACACACAACAGACCCCAAAGTACCCACACAACAGTACATTCACACACAAGGACATACACCAGAGACACACACAACAGACCCCAAAGTACCCACACAACAGTACATTCACACACAAGGACATACACCAGAGACACACACAACAGACCCCAAAGTACCCACACAACAGTACATTCACACACAAGGACATACACCAGAGACACACACAACAGACCCCAAAGTACCCACACAACAGTACATTCACACACAAGGACATACACCAGAGACACACACAACAGACCCCAAAGTACCCACACAACAGTACATTCACACACAAGGACATACACCAGAGACACACACAACAGACCCCAAAGTACCCACACAACAGTACATTCACACACAAGGACATACACCAGAGACACACACAACAGACCCCAAAGTACCCACACAACAGTACATTCACACACAAGGACATACACCAGAGACACACACAACAGACCCCAAAGTACCCACACAACAGTACATTCACACACAAGGACATACACCAGAGACACACACAACAGACCCCAAAGTACCCACACAACAGTACATTCACACACAAGGACATACACCAGAGACACACACAACAGACTACCAAAGTACCCACACAACAGTACATTCACACACAAGGACATACACTAGAGACACACACAACAGACCCCAAAGTACCCACACAACAGTACATTCACACACAAGGACATACACCAGAGACACACACAACAGACCCCAAAGTACCCACACAACAGTACATTCACACACAAGGACATACACCAGAGACACACACAACAGACCCCAAAGTACCCACACAACAGTACATTCACACACAAGGACATACACCAGAGACACACACAACAGACCCCAAAGTACCCACACAACAGTACATTCACACACAAGGACATACACCAGAGACACACACAACAGACCCCAAAGTACCCACACAACAGTACATTCACACACAAGGACATACACCAGAGACACACACAACAGACCCCAAAGTACCCACACAACAGTACATTCACACACAAGGACATACACCAGAGACACACACAACAGACTACCAAAGTACCCACACAACAGTACATTCACACACAAGGACATACACCAGAGACACACACAACAGACCCCAAAGTACCCACACAACAGTACATTCACACACAAGGACATACACCAGAGACACACACAACAGACCCCAAAGTACACACACAACAGTACATTCACACACAAGGACATACACCAGAGACACACACAACAG